CCCATGTCCACACTAACCCGGGTAATATTTATCCGGTTAGCCCTTCCGTCCACATTAGAATGGTGAATTCCGTAACTGAAAACAATGCTTTACAAAAATGATCGCTGAGGTGGATAAATGTGAAGACGCCATGGAACGTGGATGCAAAGCGTTCTGAAAGGGTATAAAAGGGGAATATAGGGCTGTGGGAACATAGACACGCTCCCCCTTAACTAGCCAGGGTGCAGTCACTGCAGTTTGGTTAACCTCTTTTTTCTAGGTCTTACAAATGTAGCTAATATTTTTATGCCATAATATTTTTTAAATTGTAAAGCACACATCAGATTCTTGTCATAACTTAGTCTTGACCAAATATACTGTCACTGCAAATGTACTGCTGCATTTTAGCTTTGTTGCTTCTTTAACCTCAGGTACTGAGCAATGACATGATGATAAAGGAAATTATAGGGCAAACTAGAGCGAGTGTAAATGTCGTGTCAGTAACTCATTAATGAAAAAAAAAGAAAAAAAAGTGTGCTATAACCTTATAATACTATGGTCACGATTAAATAAACATCTTTTTTTCCTTTTAAACTCATGGCTACACAGTCTTCTGTAGGTACTTAATCTTACTCAGGTGACATCCAAGAACAAATGCAAAACACTCTATTTAATCCCATGTTGCTTTCCCCCAGTGATCAATCATAAAAGGTGAATGGAGAGCAACATTTGTTATTCCTACAGTGTGACACAAATACAAGGCGTTAATGCAACAGTTTCATTGTTGTAACAATAGCATTATAGCATAAGATGAATTGTGACCTTTAATCTGTTGCCTGAGGCATTAAAGACATGCCAAATCTATGTATTAGGCCACAGTCCTATAGCAACAGGCACTGTGAGGTAGAAGTGAGGGGTCTACTGTAGCTGTCATCGCAGCATTCAAGTCCTAACTTGCCTATTCACATAGCAGAGTTTCACCGTCTCCCTCAGTATTACTTTGAGTTCGCTTCAGCTTCGTACTGGGAAATCTCTCATTAAGACTGCATACAGAACATCTGAAGCTTTTTCAATTTTGATGTTCATGACTGTTTGATCCTTCCCAAAAGATGAAAAGATTTTTTTTTAAATGAGCCAGAGCACAGTAGAGTTCATTGCAAAGCCTGTGTTTTTTGGGAGGAAATGGACCAGTGTCATGATCCTGCCCTGACAAAGACTCCATCTGTGAATGCCACCATCTCCTTTCTATTATTTCAATAAGAGAATACTATTCAGAGATTGTAATTGTTTTCTTTTCACATGAAATGAAAAACCAAATCAGGGATATGCAACATCCTGTGAAGAGAAGGGGGGGGGCAACCCCAACAGCAATATTAAAAGACTATTCCCATTTACCAAAAGCCCAGGAGACTTAAAGGATTTGGAATTCATTGCCAGATCTTATGCATAATTAAACAAATCCCCCATCCCCCTCCCCAGCCACACCCCCACCTCGCCAGAGGGATTTTCATGCAGCTCTGCCTCTCCAGACAGTAGGTGCTTGTTACAGTACCTCAGTGCTATTAGGCCAGAATCAGCCCCTCATTATCATTAGTTACTGCAGATGATACATACACACACACAAACACACACACACACACACACACACACACACACACACACACACACACACACACACACACAGACATGATTCCACTTACTCTCCTGCAAAACATGACATTGTTTGGCTTCATGACTTCCTTCATTTCCATATTTCCTACTGGCTGTTAGAGCTAGAACACGCAAGGATATCTGGCAGCCTGCAAGCCACAGGCCAATTTTGTGTCTTGATTGTGCTGCCTGCTGTGAGCTGACAAAAGATGGCTTTGTTGGAAACTGAGTGTGAAGAAAGACCAGAGACTCTCTTAATGCTCTGGATTCATGTTTACTGGGTTCAAGTCTTCCCTTTTTGGGAGTTTTTAGTGTATTTGCCTGGTTGCAAAGCTGAATCTGAGTATTGGGACACCATCGGGCAAAGGAACCAATTTCTATTCAACATTAAAATGTGTATGAGGGTAAAATGGGTTTTCGTTCCTTTGTTGACCACATCAGATGCTGTGTCACATGCACAGCCACTGTCCTACATGCATATTCAGTTTAAGGCAAAATTATTGAGGAATGGTATGTCTGCATAATGAGTTATTTAAGTTATCTCACTGAGGCGACATCTCTTGAGTGAAAGCATCATCTGTGTGGATCTGGGGGATAGCTTTTACCCCACCGACGACTGGAGATGAAAGCGGTAGCGTCTGTGCTGTGCTCTGCCTCAAATAGCTTGTTAACCATGCAACCAGTCAGTCTGCTCGGGGAGAACACAAAACACACAAAGAGCAGCTCCCTGAGCCAGCCGTCATCTTTGTGTCTGCTCTCTTGTGTCTGTGTGTGTCAACCTGCCCGCCTGCGCTGTTACACTTACTGGGATGCGACCCCTATTATGCAGACATGCCCTGAGGGGGGGAGATATCGACTGTCCGGCCCCATTGACCCCTCTTCACTTCCTCGCCCCTCCTCCCCCAGCTCGCCCATTCATGATGCCAACCAAAAATGAACCCCAATGTTATGCTCCCCTCCCCTCCCTTGCTCCTCTCCTCATCTCATTTCCTTGCTGCCTGTCTGTGTCTGTTATAATATTTATCTCTGAGCTGCATCACGGCTCCTCTGGATGAGCTCACATGTGCACGTGCACACACTGTACATCAACAGCATTCACCTAAACTGACACCAGTAAAATCTAGTCTCCTGTGTTGCTTTTGCTCATTCTGCTCATTGTCATTCTGTTGAAAAGTGCTGGGCGAGGTGGGGACTGAGCAAGCATCCAAAATGACCGACAAGAACCAGTGACAGCTTCACTAATTTCCCTTGTGTGGTTAGCGAACTGTGCTCTTCTTTGTGCCACACATTTTCCACCATATGTCACTGCACTGCTCTGACTGCCTGCTAGCCTGTGCATCGTAGCTTGTCTCTTGTTTAGGATTAGACTCTTTGCTTGTGAATGAGACCGGGCTCACTCCGGTGTCAAGGTCCAACAGATGCATGGCCTCCAAAATAGCAACAGTCAGACAGGGGATCTCGGCAGAGGGGCCGGGTATAGCCTGACACTCACCCGCATCCACTGTGACCCTTATCTGCTTATCTCCCGAGCCACCCCACCTTAATGTTTTCTGTAAATTAGCATTTCCTAGCGGACTCCCTGCGGCTATATCTACCCATGATAGCACAGGCTTGAGTCCCTAAATTATCCTTGGCTTAGTATAATGAATTTGCTGCACTAAGCTATGATTAGAGCTACTTCATGAGCCTGAGTGGGCGGGGAAGCTTCAGAAATGAAGAGGCACAGAGAGACAAAAAAAAAAAGTCCAAAGCTGCCCTCTTGACCTTGGCCTGTTCTCATCAGGTCTTGGCTCAGTATCTTAAATATTGCCCATTACTGAAAACTCACTGATGTTGAACACTATTATAACTGATTCCCTTTTAGTCTTTCTGTAACCACTTCACTGACACTGCTTTACAATGAGCAGCATGAAAAAATAAAAGCCATGTTCAAGCTATCTACAGTTAATTATGGATCAGTAGTTGCAATAAAGAGTTGCAGCTAATGATTCATTATCAGTTAATCTGCAGTTCTCCACAGCTCCATGGAGCGTTTTAGCATCTTTCAGTGCATTGTTTTGTTTTTTCTGGCATCAGCTTCAATGTTTTGGTTCATTCTCACGTCCCTCTCCAGCCTTGTTTTTCCAGGCGCAGCAGGGAGCTGTTTTCAGCAAACAAGCTCTGATAAAACTAATGCTCACTACCTCCCCAGCACCAAATGGCAGAGTTAGCAACAAGCTGGTAAACATGCATTTTGCTGCTAAAGAGCCAGATGTTTCCCTCAGGAGTTGGTGGAGACAAAAAAAAGCGTTAAAAGGGGGAATGAATATCAGACATGAGACACATGTCTCCAAATGAATAATAAAGTTGTTCTGTGTCTGCTCAATCTGTAAATAGGCAAATGCTAACACATTCAACACAACAACTTGTAATGGTGATATTGTGTTTACATCTTGTTCTGCTGCCCCCAAATGGCCAGAGATAGATTATTTGTTTAGTCTATAAAATGTTTAAATTCATCACAGTCATCTCCAGTTTGACTATATTGTCCAACCAGCAATCTAAAACCCACAGATTTCAACCCTTAGAGTTCACACTAGAAGTTAGAACCATTGAATGTTTGGCATTTCCCTTTGATAACTGAAATAAAAAAAATAATAGATGATCTAAAAAAGTACTTGATTAAGTTATTTTTCTCAGCACTACTACAAACATAAATAGGCCAGCAGTGTTTCGCTCCCACGTAATGACTTAAATGAGATGGACGTGAATGGGGTTCGGTGGGAGCTCTACTGAATAAATAAACGAACTCATCTGTAAATGATCAGTGTGAATAAAACCAAAAGAACGACTATGACACCACAAAATGCCGGAGCATTTATCTGTCTGTGCATCTGCGTCTGACACATGTGCATGCAGGCATGTGCCACATGTCGGCTGTGTGTGTGTGTGTGTGTGTGTGTGTGTGTGTGTGTGTGTGTGTGTGTGTGTGTGTGTGTGTGTGTGCGTGTTTGGGTGTGGGTGTGGATATGTGTGTGGGTGTGTGTGTGTGCTCTGCTGGTGGCAGTGTGGTGAAGTGGATCTCATGTCTGTGTTGAAACCAAAGAGTGGCAGCTGCTCCACTGTCCGTGGGGACTTCTGCTTCTTGTGGTCTACATAGCAGTGTGTCTCTGTGGGTTTAGAGCCACGGTCTGCAGTCCGTCTCTGGTTTCTGCATCTGGCCTTGTGGCAGTTGGAGGAATGTTTCCAGAGAATGTTTTCTACGGAAATGACATAAGTCTACTTGATGCAAAATGATGATGTAATTTATCTTGCATTGAAATGGAATTTTAATTAAGTTTCTTCTTCATCTGCAGTCTCATAGACTTCTTTCTCTGTCCTTGCATGCACAGGCCTTGGCCATGGGGGGATCCAAGAGTAAGCCCAAGGAATCAAGCCAGCGAACCCGCAGCCTCGATGGCAACCTCAGCTCTGGAGGAGGGGCCGGCGGCCACCACCTCAACTCCAATCAACAGTCCTTAACACCCAACCGCAGCCCTACTATGGATGGAGGTCTCAGTGGCAATCAGTCTATGGCCAATAACGCAGAGCTGGCCCTGTTTGGAGGCGTGGACAATAACAGCGTCACCTCTCCTAACAGAATCACACTAGCAGGTGAGAACCTCAGCTCAGTGACTCAGTCCTCATTTTTTTTACATGTAGTGGTTTATTGTGTGGGCTGTTTTAACTGTTTGCCCTGCATGTGCCGTACACAGCTCTTTGATAAAAGACAAACTTTCTTGTTCTACCAGGAGGTGTGACGACCTTCGTGGCATTGTATGACTACGAGTCTCGAACAGCCTCAGATCTGTCTTTCAGGAAGGGCGAACGCCTTCAGATAGTCAACAACACGTAAGGAAAATACAGAAAAGAATCGCACATCCCTTTTTTTGAATACTCTCTGTCTCCTCTGTTATTTCTAAACATGAATACGCTCAAGAATAGTCACTTTTTTTTTTTTACTCTTGATAAAGAGTAACTGCAGATAGACACGTCTGCAGACCGGCTGAGTTGCTGCTCAGTTGTCTGACTGGCTGCTCTGCTCCTCCAAATGTCACCCCATCTCTCTGAAACCTCCCATTACCATAGGAAAGCTTTATTTTTGTGTCAGCTGACAGGTTTCTGCACAAACTTTGCTTCATTCACCAAAAGCTTCACTGAGACTGATTAGGTCTCCTTGCTCAGTCCACCTCAGTAAGGTCATGGCCGTGTTTACTGCCACATGTAACTCCTGAGATTGCGAGACCTAGTTACTCAATACAAATCTAACCTGTTTAAGGGGGAGACATGCTTGTTTCCAAAACAGGGTGCTTGCTCTATGAATCAATAGAGGTGCAGTGAACCATATACTACAGTGCTGCACCCCCAGTGCGCTTGCCTAGTTACAAACTACTGACCTAGAAGGCAGGCAGCTGAGGACAATAGTGGATTATCACTGCATCTGGCCCCTTAAGCCAAAGACCTGTTTCATTATTGGGTCAAGTGCACCCAGGATCCATGAACCAACTCTAAGATTAGTTAACTGGTTATCACAGTTCTGATTGGTGCAGTTAAATGTAATATTATAACCATGCACAGTTATCTGATAGGCTTTTGTTATGATAACATTTTGCCCGCTGCAAGTTTTTCTCTTAAACCCCCTTTTACCTCATTCTTGTTCCCCCGTCATTATGTAATGGTTTAAATATTTTAGATTCATAGCTTTATCATATGCACTGTATTGGTCGTTTTATGAGTCAGTTCTGTGTACTCTGCTATTCTGCCACTGTTCATAACATGCTCTCTGTATTCCTTTAACCTCCTTCTTTTTCACTGCTTTCCCTTTCATCTCTCTTTTTTTTCCATCTCTCCGTCACAAACCATCGTATTTTTTACAGGAGGAAGGTGAACTGCAGGTTTGTTGAAGCTTCTCTGGAATTGTATTTGAAACGTGCCGTTTGTCTGCCTGTGTGTTTGTATCACCTAAAGCGTATACTTTTGCACTATAATACCACTTCGCTAGAAATGCACAAACCACATAACTCTTGCTCATGCCCCATGATCCCTTAGTACAGTAGGGGGAGTTAGTGCAAAGCCTTGCAGCACTATAATCAATGCAGGCCAGCTTGAGGCAATTCATGTACACAAATCATGAGTTTACTTTAAAGGTCCCATATGTTACACTTTTCCAATGTTTTAATTGAAGTGCTGATCCATAAGAAGATATATTTGTGGTTTTAAGAACCAAAACCATCTCAGTATAGTTTTACATCTCCTCTCTCAGACTTCTCTCTGGAGCTCTAGTAACAACAGGTCGGTTCAGGCTCAGAGCCTCTCTTCTGATTGGCTGACTGGTTTCTGAGTGTTCGTAAAAAGATATAGCAGATTTCAGGTAAACACTCAGAGAAACCAAATCCCGCAAGCTTGGATGGTGAGTCCAGGTGGGCTGGGCTTGGGGTATGGCTGAGGGTGGTGACTGTTTTGTTGTGACATCACAAAGTCACAGAAGTCCTGGCGCCTTGTTTTACGGCTCAGTTTCTGAATACAGGCTGTGTGCATTTCTCTGTGGACTGATAGCTTTGATACTTTCACAGTATTAATATAGAACCTAGACCTGTGTTTTAATCAAAAAAGACATGGAAATCTCACTTACAATACAATATGGGGCCTTTAAATTTCTAAGTGAATCTAGTGCTGCAAAGCTACTGCAGCTCACTCCCTGGTAATGTCTAGGATACGAGCACCATCCCTCCCTGTTGTCATACCCACATGAATGCATGTATGTATATAATTATGTAACTTCCAATTATTTTTTTCACAACAGTAGAGACATTTGGGCTTATATTTATCAAGCTTCTCCATGAGTTATTGTAGGAACAGCTTGATTTGAATTATTATGGTAGTTTCACTCAAAAACACAAAGTGGATGTTAGGTCTGTATGACTCTGTCTATGCTCTGAGACACTTGATAAAGACCAGCCCTAAAAGTCATGAGGAGTATTTTATTTGTGTTCTGGATGTGTGATGAGCCTCGGTGAAGCTGTGTGTTATCATTTCATCGCTGCAGAGAAGGGGACTGGTGGCTGGCGCGCTCCCTGACCACTGGAGAGAGTGGTTATATCCCCAGCAATTATGTGGCTCCATCTGACTCCATCCAGGCAGAAGAGTAAATCCCTCCATTTTTTTCTTGCTCTGTTTCTTTTATCTGTTTTTCACCAAGTGCACAGAAGAATTAACACTCAAATGTTGGGTTCTTAAGATTTTCTCTAGCTTTTTGTCTCTATATGAATTTGAAATGAGCTCTTAAAGGAATAGTTTAACATTTTTGGGAAATATGCTTATTAGAGTTAGATGAGAAAATCAACACCATTCTTGGCAAATATGGAACTATAGCCAGCAGTCAGTTAGCTTAGGATAAAGACTTGAAACAGGGTGAAACAATTAGCCTGGCTCTGTCCAAATATAACAAAATCCACCTACTAGCACCTCTAAAGCTCACTAAATAACACGTTATAGCTCATTTGTTTAATCAATGGATGGCACGGTGGAGCAGTGATTAGTACTGTCGCCTCACAGCAAGAAGATTCTGGCTTCAAACCTCAGTTCAGCTAATTAGAAACTGTAAATTGCCCAAAGGTGTGAATGTGAGTGTGAATGGCTCTTTGTCAGCCCTGTCATGGACTGCCAACCTGTCCAGGATGTCCCCCGCCTCTCTCCCAATCTCAGCTAGGATTGGCTCCATTCCAGCCACAGCCCTCAAAGGATAAGCGGTATAGGTGATGGATGGATGTTTAATCAATACAAAACCTGAAGTATAAGAATAACAATTTGTGGTTTTACTGGCATTATGTGCCAGACTATTTTTTGGCCGGCCACGGTAACTTCCTAGAGTCTCAACTGGATGTCTGGCAACCTCACAGTGACAACAAGACTCCTGGAAGTCACTGCACCCGGCTGAGAAATAGTCCTGCACATAAACCTCCTGCTGGTGTGCAGATTCCTTGGGACAGAGCGAGGCAAGCTGTTTCCCTCTGTTTCCAGTCTTTATGCTATGATAAGCTAACTACTTTTCTGTAGCATCATATTTACTGAATCAGAGCAGCATCAATCTTCTCATCTAAGTCTAGGTAGAGTATTTCCCAAAATGCATAATTATTCCTGTATAACATTTACTGCTTTCTACTCCTGGAGGGCATGCACTGCTAATCTTTACATGCTAACCTGCTTTCTTCTATGATTGAACTCACAAACTAACTTTTTGTAACACCTCCATTTCTCACCTTTGCCTCCTGCTCCACCAGTCATCTCAGACTGACTATAGAGTCCAGGTAAGCAGCTGTCGTACTGTAGGCATTAGTTTGCTATGCATCTGAATTGGCATCATGCAAAGACAGAATATTACTCTCTGAAACTGAAAAGCAAAAACTCACCCTCGCTTCATCATTCCTTCTTTTCCACCCACATATATCTTCTTCTCCCCTTCACCAACCTGCTGTGTGTCTCATGTTGTTGTTTGTTACTCTCAACATCACCAGGTGGTACTTTGGCAAAATCTCACGCCGTGACTCTGAGAGGCTGCTGCTAAGTTTAGAGAACAGGAGAGGGACTTTCCTGGTGAGAGAGAGTGAGACCACCAAAGGTAAGTGTGTAGACCCTTATACAGAGGAGCAAACTCCTCATTAACTCTGCCTCTCTGGGCAGCAGGGCTTTTCAAACCTCAGAACTTCTTGAGTTCCGACCATAGACTGTAAATAAAGATGGACATCGTTGCTATGACGACATATGATGGTTTTAAAGCTCAGAGTGGGCTGCTCCGCCGCCACATACCATTTAGCCATTAGCTAAAGTTGTACATTTTAACATGGAAGTCTATGGGGATTCATCCTCAAGTGGGCATTTGAGGAACTGCAGTTCTGTGTTGGCTTTAATTTTCAGCCCTAGAGGATACTGCTTGGTTTAGAAAAAAATTTCTTCATAGCATTGAGTTTTGAAAATTGTAGAATATCAAAAGTTGGCTCAGAGACAGTATTACTCCTGTTTCCTTTCCTTACTTTAAGGCACTTAAAGTGTGATCGCTAATATTCCTCAAGCTAAGAGAAATAACTTGTTCTGATTCTAATTCTGATTTTTAAAAAGTATAATTGTAATATAATGCTGAACCTCAGTATTGCACCCTTATCAAAAGACAAAAAACAGAGCAACTATTTTTAAAGAGGTTATCAATTTTGGCATTTTCTAACAACAACCCAGGTGATTCTTAAAATTGTAGAATTTTTCTTTATAACCGAGAATGAGAAAGTGAGCTCGTAAAGGTGAAAACTCTCAGGACCTAAGGAAGTAGACGTAATTATTTAGTATAAAGAAGTGATTTTTCATATATAGTAGTGTCTTCGTGGGCTTCTTCGTGTTCTTTTTACTGAACTCACCATGAAGCGCAGTTTGAATTCTGTGACAGGTCTTAATAAAAATGCACCGAGGAGAAGAAAGCAAACTCTTTCTAGCAGTAAGACAGGACACCCTGCCGTTCTCTGTTCGCCCTAACGCACCGTGTCGCTGGTGTGGCAGTGTGGTTACAGAAGAGAGACGAATCAGGCAGATGGAAAAAGGTTGGATGTGACGCCTGTGGGACTCAGTCTGGAGATAGTTCTGATAGGCATCTGCTGCTGCAGCAAACACAGACCTTATGGGATTCTCCAGCTCTGTGTGCTTGTGTGTGTGATGTGCGTACATATGTACATTACTGGATTCCTATTATGGGATATGTATATAAGCTCTGCATAGCATGAGAAAAGGGACGTGGTGGGTAGGGGTGGACGGATATCAAGGAGATGGGTGAGCAGGAGCAGGAGAAGAGGTACTGGGTGGGTGAGCCAGACAGAATTAGGTCAACGTGGAGCTGAGGCTGAGGACTGTACAACCACAGGCCATAACACCCAGTTCAAACATCAAGAGAAGGGAGAGGCATCGCCTGGGGCTGCCCTGTGAGTCAGACTGGTTTTTCACTGGACCAACACTGCCCTCTGGTGGCAGAAGAAGCAAAATGTCCCCAAAAATCAACATTAATCTCTCTTTTTATCTAACAGTTTTATCAGGATTTCATTTGCTCCTTTTTTTTTGTGATTTTATGTCAAATTAAAAACATAATATAATTTCATCCAGGCAATGTGAATCAGACATTTCTTCACATCATGCCTTATCATATTGTTCTGCTGTTCATTTCTCCAGGTGCCTACTGTCTGTCTGTATTGGACTACGATAACACCAAAGGGCTGAATGTGAAGCACTACAAGATCAGGAAGCTGGACAGCGGAGGCTTCTACATCACATCGCGCACACAGTTCAGCACCCTGCAGCAGCTCGTCAATCACTATCGCAGTGAGTTCACCACAAATGCGGTGCTTCCATTTCTCATATTTGTTTATTTAGTCAGATACAGATTATCTTGTTTTCTAACCACATTCCCTGTCTTCACTTGTGCCCCCCCCCCCCCCCCCCCCCCCCAGAGCATGCTGATGGGCTGTGTCACAGTCTAACAGAAATTTGTCCTGTACTGAAGCCTCAGACACAGGGACTAGCTAAGGATGCTTGGGAGATCCCCAGAGAGTCCCTCCGTCTTGACCTCAAGCTCGGACAGGGCTGCTTCGGAGAGGTCTGGATGGGTAAGCTGTGTTTTGATCGATTTCTTGAACCTACAATACTCTACTACTAAAAAAAAAAAAGACTTCTGCAGGCTGTCTTTCTGTACTTTCTGTTTCCTCATCACAATGCATCACACATACGTCATGGTCCTGGTCAGTAGGCCAGATTTTTCAGCAATTGTTTAATTCTTCACGAACACAGTAGCAATGCAGATTTACAGTATGTTCACATTTAGAACCCATCAATTACAGCACGTGTCCATTGTGATATGTGATCAATAAATTCAGTTTTTAAGAATTTTAAAGGGAAGCCAATGCTCCTTTGTTTGGCATGTTATTAATTCTCTACGCTGGAAGTTAATGAATTGATTGAGTTGTAACAATCAATGCTGATATATTTATCAGGAACATGGAACGGTACAACACGTGTGGCGATCAAGACCTTGAAGCCCGGCACCATGTCCCCTGAGGCGTTCCTCCAGGAAGCTCAGGTCATGAAGAAACTGAGACACGAGAAGCTGGTTCAGCTGTACGCGGTGGTGTCTGAGGAGCCCATCTACATCGTCACGGAGTACATGGGGCAAGGTCAGCGTGGACTGATTCTAGCGTTATCTTTGAAAATGTAGTTATATTTAATCGAAACAACATGACAAAAATCTTTAATTAAATTCACATTGAGGTTGCACATCAGGAAACTCCCACTAAATAAAACATAACAGCTCCAACAGTGTCATATTAACCTGCTGTGTGTGTCGCTGCTAACAGGTAGCCTACTGGATTTCCTGAAAGGTGACATGGGTAAGATGCTCCGCCTCCCCCAGCTGGTGGATATGGCCTCACAGGTCAGCAAAAACATTATAATAGTTTGCCACTGCATCACTTAAATCCATTCAGAAATACTGTATATATGGAGTGTCTTCTTGTAGTGTTGACAATCACAGAACGTTGCCTCTTTCCCAGATTGCTTCGGGGATGGCGTATGTGGAGAGGATGAACTACGTTCACAGAGACCTCAGAGCTGCTAACATCCTGGTGGGAGATAACCTGGTTTGCAAAGTGGCTGATTTTGGTCTGGCTCGCCTCATTGAGGATAATGAATATACTGCCAGGCAAGGTAAGAGCACAGGAAGGGGTCGCAGGTTAACTTATAGCATCTGGTTTATTTACATCGTTTCTCTGGTGTAGCCCAGTGGTTCATGAGCATTTCAGCTTGTGACCTCCTAGAATGAAGTTAGGTCTGTTTGTGACCCCACTTCACGGGTTATGGTGAAGTGTGCAGTTCAACCATTGACTGATTTTTATGCCTCGGCGTCAGCGACAGCCAGGGCTGGAGGCATTGTCCGTCCATCCATCCCATTCTCCTGAACGTGATATCTCAGTAAAACCTTGAGGGAATTTCTTCAGATTTGGCACAAAAATTCATTTGGACTCGAAGATGAAGTGATTAGAATTTGGTGGTCAAAGGTCAAAGGTCACTGTGACCTCACAAGACACGTTTTTGTCCATAACTCTCAAATTCATACGCTAATTATGACACAAGGTAACAGAAATGTCTAACAGGATAAAATGAGGAAGTGATGACATTTTATATTCAAAAGGTCAAAACACTTCTTGCCATTATCCAACCATGTAACTCTGTAACTTTGCTGGTCGAAGAAAACGCTTGGAAAAAATATATAATTTTTTGTAAGAGAAGCAAATATGTTGGTCTTAATCACATCAGATTTGGGAACCACTGATGTAGCGTCTGTGGTTATTTAGGGTTACACCTCAGGAAGCATTGTGATTTATGCAGTAGATGTGAGATATTGTCTCAGTCTGTGCTACAGTGATCTAATTATAACCTGCTGCTAAACCCGTCCTCTTGCAGGGGCCAAGTTTCCCATCAAGTGGACAGCTCCTGAGGCTGCTCTGTACGGCCGCTTCACCATTAAATCTGACGTCTGGTCGTTTGGGATCCTGCTCACTGAGCTGGCCACCAAAGGCAGAGTGCCCTATCCAGGTAAGGATTGTTTTATTTTTTATTTCAGGCCTTGTGACAGTGCACGGAATTAGTCTGTTTATTTTCGATTGAGAACATGCAGTGCTTTTATCATCAGAGCCGGGTAGAAGTTTCAAATTGAGATCATCCTATCTTTGTTTTGCCCTCTCAGGCATGGTGAACCGGGAGGTGTTGGACCAGGTGGAGCGTGGTTACCGGATGCCGTGCCCAGCAGAGTGCCCCGAATCCCTGCACGAGCTGATGCTGACCTGCTGGAGGAAAGAGCCAGAGGAGAGGCCCACCTTCGAGTACCTGCAGGGCTTCCTGGAGGATTACTTCACCTCCACCGAGCCTCAGTACCAGCCAGGAGAGAACCTGTAACTGGGCCGAACGTGGATATGTGCATGTGTTACGCATGCGCAAAAACTGAGCATGTGCATCTGCTTTTAGAGTGCATGGACCAGTGTGTGTGTGTACAGTAGAAAGCCGACAGCAATCTGGGTACAATCAGTAACTCTGACGTCAGGGATCGTCAGCGGGACATCAAAACAATCAGCGACATTCAGTTCCTGCCTCTTTCCAAAGTCATTGTCACACTCCCCACTGTGTCAGCCAGTCAGAGAGGGACTATTTTCAGAGGAAAAGACTATTACTTGTTATACAATGCTTTTTTTTGTCAATCAAATCAACGGTCTATACAGCCAAGCAGGTTTTTCTACCTTCTTTGTGTTTGTAAGGTGCCCTTATAATATACAGTACATCCCCCAGACGCTCCTCCTGTATTAATTCATGCTGACTGATCTTGTAGTTTTCCAGCTTCAATGACACCAGACTAAAAGACTAAAAGACTAGTAACTTTGGATACAAGTATTGTCCTGCTGAAAGCGCCACTACAGGATTTCTATTTTACTACACTTTCTGTGGGATCCAATTCAAAACACATGCTCAGACTTTGTCTTCCATTTTGTCACATGAGAAGCAACTGTTGGGGGATGTACATTAAATTTCCAGGATATTGCGCATCATGATTTTTTTTTTGTTATTAGACCATTAGACCTGGATCAACTGGAAAATGTTCTGGTGAACATTTTTACCCCCCCCCCCCGCAACAAGTTTGTCGACTGCTGTGAGATTCTGAATGAGGCTAACACCCTTGATTCCCATCAGTGTGTGCGTGTGTGTGTGTTTGTGTGTGTGTGTAGTAGTCTCACACAGCATCATACAGCTCGACGCAAAGAAGAGGCGAGGCAGAGTTTGTCTCTCTATTTTCTCATTGTGACTTTTCTTACAAACGAAATGCTACTGATCACCAACGGTCGTCTCAGGACGGAGGTGAACTCAAGTTCTGCTGCAAGGATTTTTGTGCCAATGAAAAATCTCTTTTTGTACTCTACTTAAAAAGTGTATTTTACTACTCTGAACTTTTCTTACAATGAATTCTGAGATGTGAGTGGAGGATATGCTGTTCTCCTCAAAGGATAATCCACTGTTTTCAGATCCCGTGCACCTGTGTACAGAACCGACAGGCTCACCATCGCGGTTTCAAGGTGTCGATTTTGTTTTTTTTAAGGATTGAAATTAAAATCAGGTGAATTTTTTTCATGCCTCCACATTAATATGAATCTATTTTTTAATCAGCCTCAGTACTTCCCCAATAATTGGTGCATCTGTGAGCACAATCTTACACTGGAGATCTTGTTTCTGTTGTGGTTACGCCGTCCTCCAGCCTGTAGGGGGCAGACTAGGAGCTTTCCCATAAACAGCATGTATAGCAAATAAATTGGCATCTTGAAACTTAATTGTAAATATCCTCATTTTTTATGTATATATCACCTTTATAATTTATTCCTTTTAAAATAACCCAATTGTTTATTTTTCTGTCAGCATCAAACTTTAATGTTTATGGTACTTTTTATGGGTTAAATAACATCTGACAGTAATGATATTAAATGAATATATATATTATAGAAACACTTTTACATTACAAGTATGTTTTTTTTGTGCATGTATTTCTGTGAAACCTTATCTCGGATGTACATTTTCAATATGACTGACAAGAACTGGTGAGCTGGCTCCATATTCCCTGACTCACCTGTTTGAAGAAACTGCTGGATACTGATCAAATACCAGCATCATTCTTTCCCATAATGCAATCAAAACCTCAGATGTTTACATCGTGATAATCTTCAGAACATGTTGGTGCTGCTTCAGAGGCTGGGAAATGAGCAGGTAATCAAGTGTCATTCTTGTCTGTTTTTTTCTGGGTACACCTGAACCAGCATACTGTCTGTGTGCGTATGTGTGTGTGCGTGCATGTGTGTGTGTGCGCGTGCGCTGCCATCCTCTGTACTTCCATGATCATCAACATTGCGATCGGCCTCTCCAACTTAGATTTTAAAAAAGCACTTGTGATTACGATTCAATAATCTTCAGTAGATCATGTGACTGCCAGATGTGGAAGCAGCTTGATATGTGTATAGTGTCGACCGTGTCCCATGGACGTGGATCATTCCACGTTGATCTGCATAGGGGGCGGGGTCATGTTGTTTGGCATCGTCCCCTTCTTTTTCCGGACCGGTGTCAGAGAATGTTAAGGAGCAAGTATGGAAAAAGTGCACATAAAGGGTCATATTGTCTGCACGCAGCCTCGCTTACAAGCCAAGGACATTTCCTGTGGGGTTCTGTGGGTCTCCTTTCTGGCTATGCAGATATTTTACTATATATACTCTTTTCTACTGTATTCAATGGGGATTTTCAGATAAAAAGCTCTGTTAAATCCTACTGAATACTGTTACAATATGAAAGTTTGTTTGAATAAAATTTGTATATTGCCAGCTTCTTTCTTGTCTTGTTTATTTCCTGACTGAAAGGTGATCAGGAAACACTCACTGAGCTGGGTTCACTGTGTTTGCTGTTCAGGTGAATCATTAAAACTGTGATCAAAGGTCAATACAAGTGCTAGACACACTTTTTTACTTTCATTATCGCTAGACCAGTTGAAAAAAAATCTCATTGAGTGTGAGAGTTTTTAGCTGATTTTTCCCACATTCAGCTACAGTTTCAATGATATTAGGACCAAAATCAACAATAATCTTAAAATAAAAAGGCAACTCAACCAAATCCATGAAGGAACTATAATGTATAGAGAATGAAAGAAAATATGAGCAGAAAGTCACTCATGTATACTTGCTGCATTTTATTTTAATGCTTTTTATTGGCCTATTTTTGTTGTCTGTGTCTGAAACTATATCTGTGAAAGGTGCTGTACAAATTAACTTTACTTAGTTATTGACTTACTTATATTTGATTTTTTTCGACTGATATCAGGTTCTGTGTGTAAAATCTTACTTTGCAGAATAACCAGTAGCTACAACTGTCAAATAAGTTTAGTGGAGTAAAGAGTACAATATTTACCTCTGAAATGAAGAGGAGTAGAAGTATAAAGATGCAGAAGAACATAAGTAAAGTGCAGTTACCTCAAAACTGTTTACACTGTTTTTTTTATTTTTTGGGGGGGACTTGTGGAGATGCCCACTCCTCTTAAACAGCTCAAAATAACATACCAATTCATTATATGACAACGTGTTTCAGCAGTCAGACATGAGCTCTGTTTGAGGTTGCAGAGACACCAGCTGTAAAAGATGGTTAAATAAAGTAAATGTTCCTAAGCTCTGTGTCTGTGACTGGTGCGACAGGACTTTTGACTCAGCTCACTCCTCCCACATCCTGAGTTTGTCACTGGAGGTTGTAACAGTTATAGGAAGTTGATTTCACAATTATTATTCAGGCAGCAAATGATCTTTTGAAGTAATCATAATCAATTGATCATTCAGTCTACAAAGTGTCAAAAAAAGGCCAGTCATAGAGTCCCCAGGTGACATTATGATGTAATTGTGAAGCACTTGTACTTTACTGAGTATGTTCATTTTCTCCTGCTTTGTATTTTATTCCACCACGTTTAAGAAGAAAATACAGTGAATTATTAAAGATTAAATAAACAGATTCACAACCTTTTTGGCTAGTCACTTCACCCAAAAAAACAGTGTCTGGTTGACGCCCTGGGTCACATATCAGATGTCTTTGAGTTGTTGCAGTTCTACCGAAGAGACGTTTCCTTTCTAAACCTGTCAATGGCTCATTTTAATAACTGTGGTAAAACGATCCAATATTTCACCAGAAAACGCAAAGATTAAAGAATAGTCTAAATAAATCAATAGATACATTTTTATTTATTTTCTTTTCAAACAGACTAATAATCTCATGACCACTTAGATTTATTTTATGACTCCTTACCCCTCCGTGGGAAACCACTGGACTACTATATAGAGTAGTAGGCTAGTGGTTAAACTAGCTCCTCCTCAACCAAACTACAACAGTAAAATGCATTGATGCATTAGTATTAACAAGTCATGTCAGTCACAGGGGACATTTTACCGCTGAATGAATACTTTTACTTTGATACTCTAAGTTCATTTTGTTGATAATACTACTGTAAATGAGTAAACGTGAGTAACTTGAATAAATGTACTAAGTCACTTTCCACCGTTAGTTTTATGATGCTGATGATGATGATGATTAATATTATTGTTGTGATTATTATTATTATTATTATTATTATTATTATTATTATTAGTAGTTGTAGTAGTAGTAGTAGTAGTAGTAGTAGTAGTAGTAGTAGAAGTATTGTAAATATCATTATATTTGGAGAAGCAATATGCTCATTAGTATGTATTTGTGATTGTGCCACACCCATGATACCCTCAGAGAGCTACCATCACATAACACAGCTACCTACCCCCTCGTCACGTGCGGTGTGCTCGCTCTGTCTGTAACGTTAGAGAAAGTCCCGGAAGAGGCTCTCTACTACTCTTGCTGTGTGCGCGCAGGGCACAGGTGAGCTAGCGCTTTACCTGTAAACAAAGGAGAAGAAAGAGACACACATGGAAACGAAACCCGGGATACAGTTTCCCAGATACCAGCTCCCAACATTACTTCAAAGCCAGTAAGTTCGCCCATATTTGACTTGTAAGGAAAGATTTTTGTGTGTCGTGTCTTTTGTTTTTCCTGTGCAGCGACACTCTTGTTATTTTGTGTGTCTTAAAGTTTAGGTAGCCTAAAGATGTGTTGCTGCTCTCTGGTAACATTGAGTATGTGTGTTTTTCTATATAGTTCACTTCCAATGTAAAAGACATGAATGAGTGAATTAATTTGTTTTTGTTCTGCGGCTCTGTGTTTTCTCTCTCAGCTCTCCTATAGCGTTTGTGTGATTTAAATCTGGATGCTAGCACAGCCTACTTTGGCACTGCAGCTCACTCAGTACCACACCTTCCTCTTCATGTATCAGCTTCCTATCATTGTGAGCTCTTAGGCTATGGTTTAATGCCTCAGTACAAACCATGGATGCCTGTTAGGGCAGATAAGTTCAGGAAATGACATGTACTTCTTTTTTTTCCCCCTCGCCTCTCTTTCTCTTCCCCTCATTTTCTCCTCTCTCTCTCTCTGTCTCTCTCTGTCTCTGTCCAAAACCTGCCAGGCTGGAGATCAGTGTTTGATCCAACATCCTGATACACACAGCGTTGCCAGGCACACTCCGCAGAGCTTACACATGTAATAAGGTGGGTCAATCCAATCCAATCCACCAGCTCTGAGGAAAATCAGGTCAATTCACCTTTAAATCCTGCTTGTTTCTGTCCCATCCTGTCCAATGCATTCCTGTTTAAACTCGCATCTTCCTTAGAATTGCTTAACACAAGTCAGATGATCAGATGATGATGACTCTCTCACTGTTTGTATGTGTTTGTGTGTTTACCTTTGCCACAGATGACTTTTAATTCAGCATGACCATCTTCAAATATATCTAATAGTGTCACAAACCATGGGAAACAAGCTTGTGCTTTTGTGTTTTTCTTTTGTAATGCTGCATCTTTCAAGCTGGTTAGCACATAAAAAATAGCACAGAGTATAAATACAGCAGAGTAAAAATACAGCAACCTCCTTGAGAATTAGATAAAAGTGTCAAGACGATCGTCTGAGTTATTTTTAGTTTTGACAAGCTGTCTTGTCTTCACAGGCCTATTTTTTTTTTTTTTTTTTTTTTTTTTTTTTCATGGACACGCTGGCTCCATTTACAGCCTGTGGACTTTTACCTTGATGCAAGTTTGATTAATTATTTCAAACCAAAGGTAACTCAGCATGTCAGGAGGCTTATTTGGGACAAAAGTGGGACTTAAATCATTTTATATATAATTATCCTGGTTTATGTTCATCTGAGCTGTAATTTTCATGTTGAAGCCATTGTGTTAAGTAAGAATCATTTGGGTCTTGTATTGGGTATACAACATATACAACAGGGTGGAAAGCAGCAATGCAAACAGGCAGAGAGGGAAGGTTTTTAGTTTTTTGTCATGTTGTTTCCAAAGGCTTTGTCACCATGATGTTCTTTTTCAGTGAATATATATAGACAGTCAGTGGTAAAAAATGAAGAAGGAATATCAGACTTAATAACATTAACCATCAGGTTCACACACACAAACACACAACACACACACACACACACACACACACACACACACACACACACATAAGCTGAGTCATGCACACATGTTGCAGTGGTCTGTGACTGTAATTATAGACTTTGCGTCTCAGGTGGAGGGTAAAAGCTGCAGAATCAGTAGCAGGGGGAGGAGTCACTTTGAGGTTAATGTCAGGAATTGATGCATGAGTATTTGTTACAGGAAATGTCAGCTACATCTACTTCACACTCAGTGAACTGTGAAACTATACTGTGTGTGCAAGTTTGTGCATTTCACGGTGCTAAATGTTATGTGGTAAATGTACATATTGTGTGAACAGTGCTTTAAGAAGGTGCTTTTAATGTTTGAACATGATATTGACTTAAATGATTAGCATCTTACTTGCCTGTAGTTTTTGAAATTATCCCACCTTAAGTAAATGATACAAATAGATTTTGAGTTGTGAGCTCACATTGAATGCTAATACAATTGACGTAAAAGATAGGTGTTCATCAACTTTCACTTTTGTTTTACAAATATTTCTTGTTCTAACTAGGGCTGCAACAATTTGTTGATTAATTAATTAGCTGATTGACAGAAAATAATATCGGGCAAGAGTGGGGTACACCCAGGACAGGTCGCCAGTCTATCACAAGGCTGACATACAGAGACAAACCTAGGGGAAAATTGAGAGTCACCAGTTAACCTAAACCTGTATGTCTTTGGACTGTGAGAGGAAGCTGGAGTACCTGGAGAAAACCGACGCATATGTGCGTGAGTTGATGAATCTATTTAGTCTTTTTTTTTTTCCCAAAAATCCCAAATCAATTCCCTTGTTCCATCTTGGTATGATAAAGCTATATGAATACATTATCTTGGCTATGCGAAATTATAACAGGTTTTAGCCTTAATGATGAACTCAGAAAATAATCAGCAGATTAATCAATAATAAAAATAATCATTTGTTGCAGCCCAAGTTCTAACTTAGTAATTTCAGGCAAATTCTGCTTAAAAACTAACAAAATTAGTTAATGAAGACTTTATCCTGCACTTGTGTTTAGCGCTGTGGTGATTAGTGCATATGACAGGAAATGAAGTCAGCTGCAGCTGTTTTAATATCACTTTGTAGTTGGATCCAGGTTCTCAAATGTGAGAATCTTTGGACAAAGCACAACATTTGAAGACTTCACCTGGGACCACGGTGAATTTTGACAGGCATCATGTTGTGTAGACCAATGTGTCTCTGCTTATATTTGCCATATTACGACTCTTATGAATATTGTATGATATTTTATTGATATTGGATATTAATTTCAATCACCCCTAGGTAGCATGCATTTTTTATGTTCCTTTGAGGTGATACATAACAGTTATTTCAGTTCAAACATATTGAAAAAGCAGCCATCTCACTGTGTGTTTCAGCCATATGTTTCTGTTAAACTGTCTACTGTGGCCTACTGAGACTAATGACAGGCACACATCCTGAGGCCGTGTGTGAGAATGACACATCAGCTGTGGGCGGGTTGCTCACTGTGAAGCAGTCGTAAAAAAGACAAGATATGGAAAGCTACAGAAACGACTGTGAGGAAGTTAGTAATGACTCAGCCAACCAGGTAGCAAAAAAAGTCTTCAGCAGTTAAACATGTGGACTATAATTAGAGAGCATGACAAGAGCACAGTAGGTAGAAGACTGGACCATGGCTATAAATGAAAACAACAAGAGCAACAACGACTTTGTAACCCTTTGATCATTTACAGTAAACCTATCCCCACAGCCCAGTCGTTTCCAGATAGGAAGTGCTAATACCATGATATAACCTCCTCTTTCACAGTTACCTATCAAACCCAGCGACCACAGGACAGGAGTTCACCCGTCATCCTCCACTATGGCGAGCCAGGACCCTGTCAGTCCTTCACATGCTACGTTCGACCTCTTCGTCCATGCCCAGAGCTGTAAGGATGTGAAGCACCACTTTGCTGAGCTCTGCATGCAACTAGACATCAACCCTAAAGATTTCAGAACCTTTTACATCAAGTTAAAGGAGAGACTGAACTACTGGAAGGCCAAAGCGCTGTGGACAAAGCTGGACAAAAGAGCGTCTCACGCAGATTACCAGCAAGGAAAAGCCTGCACGAAAAACAAGGTACTGTCAACCAGTGATTCTCTACTTTTTTATGTATTTTCAAAGGGACAGTTTGTCCCAAAGGTCCAGATGTGGACAGTAGGTTTGGACTGTTTATTGCTGCCTTTTTAGTTTTGAAATATTTGACATAATTCTTGTTATTGCCATGATAGTTAGACATACAGGGAATTAGCCTTTGATTAAGTTAAGTCAGTGAGACAGTGCCAAAGTGACGGCGGTTCCTCTTTGATCACAGGTACATTAGACTCAGAACAAGGTCCTTTTAGTAGCTGGAAGTTTCAATCATATCACGTGACCTTCATCAACAGATGTAGTTTGCAGTTTAAGGACAACACGACACATCTATGTTTTCATTTATGTGAATTTATTAGCATTTTTTTTTACAATGACAATTTGCCACAATGTTCAGCTACTTCTAAACAGGAACAGTGGGGTTTTCCGAATTCTGGGGGAAAACAATAAAACTGAATACCTCTGAATTATTTGGAAAGTCGATCCGATATAAATATAATAAGTATTGGTACAAATATCAGCCACCAACAACGCTAAACATCAACTTTAAAAGTCAAAAAATCTTTTGTTGCAGTTTCAATCGAGACAATCTCATTAAAACATGAGCATTAATTGTGAAAGGTCTATGGATCCATTTTTGTCTGTTCATAATGCATTTTTATTTTTTGATGAAGATTTTTTGGGGGATTCGCTGCTGATCAGATTCAGACAGATTCATGTTAATTTCCAGCATTTTTAAAGGATAGCTCAGTACTTGTTTTATTGTCAGACAGAAAGATTTGACCTTGAGGATTTTTGAAGTCTAAATCAACACATGGCTCAATTTTAACGTCACACTAATTTGCCCTACAGGAGGATATACTGTGAAAACATGTAGTAGATGTCTTCATTCTTTGATTGGCATCATATCATCCACGCTGGCTGTATTTCTAATTTCCTCCTCCTCTGTCTCAGTGTCTTGTGTTGGGTGCTGGACCATGTGGGCTGAGAACGGCCATCGAGCTGTCCCTGCTGGGAGCTCAGGTGGTGGTATTGGAGAAGAGAGAGGCTTTTACCAGGAACAACGTCCTCCACCTGTGGCCCTACACCATCTGCGACCTCCGTGGGCTCGGAGCCAAGAAGTTCTATGGCAAATTCTGTACAGGCTCTCTGGATCACATCAGTGAGTGACTAATGATGGTGTCCTTTACGTCAGCCAGCTCTGGTGTTTTTCACAGCTCCTATCAGTTAAATTATTAGTTGATTAAATCCACCAGTAGATCAGCAGAAAACACAACTTCTCTGCAACTTATGTTTTATTTTAATGTCAGCATGTAAGTGTCTGATCTGGGCGAGGTGTGGGACAGGACCCCACCTCTTTATGAATTTGGTCTTTTGGAGCCTTACAACATATGTGATATGTTGTATGACGGAGACTCAGGTTTCAACCACCTCATTGTGATTCACCTCGTGGGCCCTGGTGTGGTTTGTAACACATAAACTTTAACCCTTCCCTCAAGGCCTTTTGTAATTACACAAGGACTACTGCGGGAATATCATGGGAAACACCTCTATCATCTGGCATCAAACATCGTCCCTCCAAACATTACTGAACTTTGGACATGAGCAGAATCAACAACATTTTTAATTGATTAATAGTTTATTATCAAGCACAATAGTTTCTCAAATGTAACACTTTCTCTTTATACTTCTATTGAGGTTTGGACTGTTGTTGTTGACAAAACAAGCAAACTGAAGACATCACACTGGGCTCTGGGAAATTGTGATGGTTTTGTCCCCCTATTTTCTGCCATTTTGGGTAACTCTTTAATATAGGTCTCCCTATTTAGCATTTATAAGCAGTATATTAACATTTCATAAATATTTACAACACACAGCAAATTTCAAACCCAGAGAAATAAGTGATTTAAATCAAGGTAATATCTTTTTCATTTGGTTTCCTGTCAATGGCGTCATGTCCCCTATGCGCAAGCCTTAGTGTTGTGGTTGTCTGCCAGAGGCATTAAAGTTGTCTGAGAAACACAGTTTTTTTAATGTGAAACTACTTTATTCAGTGTTTTACTGGTTTTAATCATTGGCTTGATATGTTTTGGAGAGGAGGAGACCTCCGTGGATAAAGTTTTAAAGCCTCAGCTGTAATTAGATTACTCAAAAAATAAACGAAAGATTAATAAACTATGAAAAAAATCTAGTAGCAGCCCTCCCTGTTTGCACAACTGACTGCATGTCTGGGGTCTTGGTTATCTCACACACATTTCCAATGAAATATACATGTGTGTTTGCAGGCATTCGTCAGCTGCAGTTGGTTTTATTGAAAGTGTCTCTTCTCCTCGGGGTAGAGGTTCACACTGGAGTGGAGTTCCAGGGCCTGATCGAGCCCTCAGGAGACAACGGTACTTACATTTACATCTCTCTCCCCACTATTTCTGCTCATCATCATATGTTGTTTGTACGAACCAGAAGTATGTAAAGCAGTAAAAGTTGTTATGAAATCAGCTGCACATAAAAGTTTGATACGTTTCTGGCAGGTTGGATGGCCAAGCTGCAGCCCGGGTCTCATCCCGCTGCAACCTTCCAGTTTGATGTCTTCATCTCTGCTGGAGGAGGCAGGTTTGTCCCTGATGGTGAGACAAACACACACATCCATGCTTCAGTCACTTCTGCTCCCACTGTTGCAATAGGGGGCACATTCAGCTGTAGTTACACATTTTGCAAGGCCTGGCTTACACATCACAGTCACAGAAGCACAAACTTCCTGTAGCAGTCTTATTCAATGTGTGCGCCTTGGTCAGCCCAGTTTCCTCTTTTGCTTCTTTCTAAAACTTTCAGGTTTTAAGCACAAGGAGCTGAGAGGCAAGCTTGCCATTGGCATCACAGCCAACTTCATCAACAGAAACACGGCTGCCGAGGCCCAAGTAGCAGAGATCAGCGGTGTCGCACGCATCTACAACCAGAAGTTCTTCCAAGATCTGCTCACTGAGACCGGTAGGAATTCGCAGTCACGTTCATCTGAATGGAGGAGAACATGTTGGTTTGCAGTGATGCAGCTGTTTGCTGTATTTCAGTATACTACTATATTTAAAACGTGAAGCAAGAGGAAGTCAGTTGCTTCAGATGAGCTTGAAGTGAGAAAATGTATTATGAAGTAAAGTCACCATGAATTGTAACATTTCTTTTTTTTTTGGGCTTTTTGTGCCTTTAATGGACAGGATAGTAGAGAGACAAGAAATGGGGAGGCAGAGAGAGGGGGAACGACACGCAGGAAAGGGCCATCCGATGTGGGAGTCGAACCGGGGGCCAGCTGCAGCGAGGACTGTAGCCTCTATATATGGGGTGCCTGCGTTACCCACTGCGCTACGTGACACCCCAATCGTAACATTTCTAATTCTGTTTTTTTTTTCTTGGTGAACACAACCCTCAAGGCTTTAAAATGAACTGTCACACTGTCAGATTGGGTGCAACGTGAAACGTGAAAAAAACGCAGCCTTGCAGTTAATCTGTTTTCCAATCCTTAGTTCATTTCCTGTGACAGCATTAACTGATGATCCACCCTTCCTCTCTGATGGACTCTACATCTACTGCACCTTTGTTTTGAACAAACCTTACTATTAAGAGCCACCTTTACATCCCTGTTCACACTCATTCTCATGATCATATTTCACTCACCTCCCATTGTCCAAGTCCTCATCTACTTCCCCATCCTAAAACCAGTAGAAACATAAAAGCAAACAAGCTGATAATATAGGAAAATATCACACTTACTGTCAGCTTTCCTGATTCTTCCACTCTCCTACACTGGTCTCTCTCACTCTCTGTATCTATGCCCACCAAGCTCTCTTTCCCTTTTTCTATTCCAGGTATTGATTTGGAGAACATTGTCTACTATAAGGACGCCACCCACTACTTTGTCATGACTGCCAAGAAGAAGAGCTTGCTGAAGAAGGGGGTCATTAAACAGGTGAGAGCAACACATCCATTACAGCGGAAAAGTTTGATTCTTATTGGCACTGGCTATGTTCCCGGCCAGTAAAGGAAAAGAAACAAACTGGATGATTGAGACGGCCATGCAGGTGCTCCAGTGTGACGAGATAAACTGTCAGTCATCTGCTTTTCTTCTGCAGCCTGGCGAAATAGCTAATGCAGCAGTATATGAGTATATGACATGTCACTCAGCTTCAGAAAAGGTGCCATGACTCATCAGACGAACCTTCTCCTTGTGTCTCTACAGGACTACAGTGATGCAGAGAAGCTACTGGCTCCAGCAAATGTAGACCATGAGGCTTTGTACAGCTTCGCCCATGATGCTGCCTACTTCTCCACAGGCGGAAAACTGCCTGACCTCCGGTTTGTTGAGAACCAACCTGGCCGGCCAGACGTGGCCATGTTCGACTTCACCTGCATGCACCGTGCTGAGAACGCCTCGCTTGTCAGGGAGAGGAGGGGGAAGAAATTGTTGATGGGTCTTGTTGGAGATTGCCTGGTGGAGGTAGGGAACAATGCTTTTCATCTAGTTCACATAAAGCCAAGCTAACGCTGTGGCTCCAGGGATGGCAACGTTGCTTGGTCCAGACTGAAATATCTCAACATTTACTGGATGGATTGCTATTAAGTTTAGTCCAGATATTCATTGTCCCCAGAGGAAATTAATCTAAAACCTTGACTGCTAATGATTCCCTGAGTTTTCATGTAGCACCACCAGCTAGCTGGTTATTTCATGTATCCAGTGAAATATCCCAGCATCTACAAGATAAATGGCACAAACTGTTGTGGATTCATGGTTCCCAGATAAAGTATCCTATAAATTTGATGATCCCCCGACTTTATGTTTTCTTTTCTGAAACCATGGCGTTGACGTTTGTGATTTTCAGTGAAATGTCTTGACAACTTTCTAATAAATTGTCAGGAAATTTGGTCAGGTATAGACATTCATGTTCCCCTCAAGAGGAACCGTAATTACTTGCAACATCATTCGCTCTAAATATTAATTTGTGCAATACTTGATGAATAAACATCTGCACAGCTAATAACATTCCCATTGGCCTCAGTTGAGCTTTGTTTAGTGCTAATTAGCAAATGCTGGCATGCTAACACACTAAACTAAGACGGGGAACATTGAAAACATTGGAAATATTATTAGCATTCAGCTCAAAGCTCCACATCAAAGAGCTGCTCACAGACCTTTAGCTCTGTTGACGTAAAGATAATGCTGTTTAGAAACTGGATAAGCGTAGAGTTTGTGGGGAGAGCCAGGCAGCTGTTTCTTTTTCAGTCCTGTAAGTATTAATAAATGAGGTGCATCCTAGTGTGATAATCACTCATTGTATGAAATGTGTCTGCTCCACTTAATTGTGAGATTATCTTAATGTGCTACAATGAGTTCTTATGCTCCGTTCTCTGCAGCCGTTCTGGCCTCTGGGAACAGGCATAGCCCGCGGGTTTCTAGCTGCTTTTGACACAGCGTGGATGGTTAGAAGCTGGGGCATGGGGGTCCCACATCTCAAGGTCGTGGCTGAGAGGTGAGCAGGCTTCATACACCTACTAAGCAGTACACAATACTGACAGGCAAATTTCATGTTTTCATTACAAGCAATTTACAAGCAATATCATGAGAAACACACCAGGTTTCAAGATGGAGCTTTTTCATCTTTCTTTACTGCTTTATTTCTCACCACCTGCCTGGACTGACAGTATAAACCACAGGTTCTACCGTTAGTACAATATTTGTTTTTAGTTAAACTAAAATAAAAATAAGGATTTAGACATTTAGAATTGTTTATGGTTTGCCTTGAAAGCACAAAATAAAGTATTAAAATAAAGTGCCAAAACTGATCAGTATGCCTGCGGATCTCCTCATCAGCAACACCTCCTACCCTGAGATAATTAATATCATAAATAGTTGTTTTGATTGCATAGATGTTAAGATTATTTCAACATGATTCCTTTATGTGACAAGAATAAAACTATGGGGCGCCCCAGTAGCTCACCTGGTACCATGTACCAATGCTGAGTCCTTACTGCAGCGGCCTGGGTTTGAGTCCAGCTTGGGCCCTTGGCTGCATGTCATTCCCTCTCTACCCTGACCTTCCTGTCTGTCCCTACTGTTGCTATAAAATAAAGCAGAAATGTCAAATAATAATCTTTAAAAAAAGAATAAAAAAATGATTCTTCTGGTGTTTCGAAAAAAAAGTTATATTTTACCCATAAAAACATGATGATTCTGAGCTTTTGATATTTACTAGACAAGACTTTACTGAAAAGTTTCAAGAATTTGATCAGATAAACTTATTATGGGAAACCTCACAACTGTACAGAGTAAACTGTTCAGAGCCTATCTTGTTATTTTCAATCATAATGTTTATTAATCTGAAGTCAAAAAGATGACTTGTTGAGTAATCTCAAAACTCACCCAGTAACATCACTTTCCTTATTGGTGTCAGTTTCCTTTTCAGTATTGTTTTACGTTTCAGTGCACCTCTGTGTTTCAATGTGTGGAACAACTCGGCGCTGTTTTTTTCTCTGAAACACTCTGCTCTCATTTCTTCACAAATGTACAGAGAAAGTGTTTACCAGCTCCTGTCTCAGACCACACCAGAAAACACCAGCAAAAACTACGCTGGTTACAGCATCGACCCCAAAACACGGTATCAGAGGGTCAACCTCTCATCCATCCATAGCAACCAGGTCAGGACTGTTATCCTTTATTTACTCAACAGAGAATTTAAATCAGAGTCTTTTTAATCATCACAAAGGTCGTTCAGGGACGGAGATAACACTCGAGTTGACTGACCTCTGTTTTAAGGAAATAAATATTTTTTACAGCAAAGCAAAAAACAACCTATATTTATCAGTTCTGGGCCTTGACAGTGATTTCCACACACAGTATAACAGTTATTGAAAGGGTTCATTTGTTTAGTCTGTGATCTCTGAATGTATTGACTAATCTACCTGTCACTTAATTAGGTGCAGCACCTGTATGATGTCGATAAATCCCGCCCATCGAGCAAGAAACAGAGGGACAAGTGGTCTCACATGCGTCAAGGTCAGCTGGTCTTCACTGTGCAGGCAGTCGGGTCTGTGTGGTGGTTACTGGGGTTATTCTTTCACTTTAGATTCTGCTGTGTTGAGTAAAGTATAAAGCACTTTGTGGCCAACACTGAAAACAATATAAATATTTCGTATCACAGATGGACATTTTTGTGAGTGTGAAACCACAAAAAGGTTGTAGAGAACTGTCTGAAAAACTGTGTTTGCCCTCTCAGATTCGATTGGTGGGTTTGAAGAACTGTTGAAATGGTGCCAGAACCACACCGCAGATTATGCGAATGTGAATGTAAAAGATTTCACCCAGTCCTGGAGGTCCGGGCTGGCTCTGTGCGCCCTGATCCACCACTTCAGGCCTAAGCTCATGTGAGTGGCTGCGTTGACGGTAGCTTGGTATTCAACTGACAACATACACTAATGAGACAGGATGCTGAATAATTATGTAGTGCTGTTAATTTGACCCAGTTCTTGGAAAGAAATATGCATCACATATTTGCATTTTACTCATTTTGCCTAGTAAAATCTAGTTAAAACCTAGTTAAGCAAACAGTAACCAAAAGCTAATATAATGATCACCTCTCTAATTTATACTGTAGAACAGAGGTTTCCAAAGTGGGAGGTGGGCCTCAGCAAAAAATATAACAAGTTATTGCATTAGTTATCAGAAGGAGATCATGTTAATTAGCCTATAGGTTTGTGATTTGGTTAAAATGATACAGTAGTTTTGGGGAATTTTACTGTTTTTCCCAGAGTCAGATATTAATAAAATCCTTAGGGCAGACCTTTTTTATATATTTGGTTTAGTCAAGTTAGTCAAACAGCAGTTTTAGGCTATCTTGGCTGAATTATTGCGTGTCTATGGGATCAAATAACATAATCAAGATCCCACTGGCATCCAGGAATTGAGTGAAACAAAGTAAGTAAACTAAGGTGGGGTGAGGGGGTCGCCTTTTTCCAAGGTTTGTCTGAGGGGAGTCCCACAGTCTCAGACTGTGAAAACCCCTGCTGTAGAACAATCCCTCTTTTCTAATTCCTCCTCAGTGACATGTCCTCTCTGGATGAGTCCAGCGCTGTTCACAACAACCAACTGGCCTTCAGCATCTTGGAGAAGGAGCTGGGCATCCCACCCGTCATGTCTGCCAGTGACTTGGCCAACAGTGGTCAGATAGACAAGTTGTCCATGGTTTCTTACCTCACCCAGGTCCAGAAAGCCTTCACTGTGCCGGCAAAAGGTAAAAGTTTGGGCCTGTGTTATTTGTTTGGGTTAAAAAAGTACAAAAGCAAAATTGAAAAGCCAAAAAAGCACTTTACAGCACTCCACAGTTAATGGTTTCATTAATTATGTCACTTTAAAGCAATTTATGTTCTGATATATTTCTATTACAGACAGCAGCATCAAACTTACATAACTCGGTTGCTTAGACACTGCAAAGCATTAGCATCACCTTAAAAGGGTCAGGTGTCCTCCCACTGAAATGTATTTGGTGTTGAGAGGTGATCAAATCACTGCTGTCTCTTTAAGAGCATGTTACCCAGAATTCATTGGGCTTAAGTGGCTAGTGCTGTTGTTCAGAGACAGCCTCTACTGGTCGAACTGCTCTCCTGCACTAAACCAGCCCAGCAGCAGCGGCAGCAGCAGCAGGCAGAGCTAATAGACACGGTGTGGAGCAGGCTTATCAGGGTCTGATGGGACTAGCTCTAGTCTCTTGAAGAGGATCTACTATTCCTGCTCCGAAGGAGGATTTTCTCGTGGCTGTTTGCGGCAGAGGTATTTTTACTGTCTTTGTGGCATGAGGAGTTTGTGCAGCGTAGATGTGAGCCCAGGAGGCACTGAATGAGCTGTAGTGGGTGTGATCTATACGCTCTCCGTGTCTGTGATGCTGTGCTGCTGCTCAGCTTGGGGATCCACTGACTGATGTGCAGGCAGCAGGAGGGAGCTGTCACTCTCCGGTAACCTTATCTGAATGATGAAAGAGTGGGAGTGGTAGTCAGAGAAGGATCTGAAGAGTTTTTATGTGGATTGACAGGTTAAATTCAGCTTCTGCTGCTGTGACACTACAGAATATACAAGTAAGAGGGATTATTCATATGTCTGACTGAGTATTCAACATAAATATACCTAGGAGATATTAAAAAAGTTGCAATTAGAATATTTTAAGCAGCTGTGTAGAAAGCTGCAAGCAGGCCAACGTTCAGATGTCTTTAGGTTTTCTGTCCAGTGTCATGTTAAGATAAACTGAATTTGGTGTGTGTGACATTTTTCTATTGGCTACAGACCCTGCAGGCTTCCTGCCGTCGTCCAAGCCTCTGACTCTCTCCCAGACACAGTCAGCTGTCTTCTTCCTGAACAAGCTGAAGCACAACTCTCTGCAAAGGCGCAAGGTACGCCCACTGTGACTAGAGTTCACTGTTTACACAGCACCGAGAAATGTTTGATAAAGATATTTTCAAACACACTGGCATGTTGGCTGGAGTTCACGTCTGGGCCTTCAGTCTGTGATTCTTGTGCTGTCGGTGACTTGCGTGTCTTTTTCATCTGTTATTTCTCTCTTTCGGGTCAAAATGTTAGACAGGCTTCTAGATAGACGTTAAAATGGTCTAATCGAGTTTGTTTGTGACTGTTCTCCACATAATAAACATAATCAGGTCACATGATAGTTAATAGTTTTCATGATTTTTTTTTTTGCAGGAAAAGTTGGCAGCAGAGAAACAATCAAGAGTAAGAGAGACGAGGATGGGAGATGAGGACAGTGTGAGTTGTGTTTTCTACTAATTCTGCTCATTTAATTTTGTTGTTGTTTTACTGACTATAATTCTGCCTTGTGACCTTTTCCCTTAGACGCCGCCGCCTTCTGTGTCCCCTGAGGTCAGTCTTATACCTGATTCGGCTCAAGAGCCTGAGCCTGAGCCTGAACCTGGTGCTGGTGGGTCAATGACAAACAGTGAGGAGTGCTACTTTTGCGGTCAGAGGGTCTACGTGTTGGAGCGCATCAGTGCTGAGGGCAAGTTCTTCCATCGGAGCTGCTTCACCTGCCACCAGTGCGGCATCACGCTCAGACTGGTGGGATACACCTTTGACCAGACCACAGGTGAGCACTGTCATATAATATATCCTTTGCTAATCTAGCCGTACTCAGAAGCACCTGTATTTCTGATTTCAACAGCTATCACACCTGTGGGATAAGGTGCTCTTTCAAAGCCAGGATAAGATTTACTGCAATACAGGAAGCACCAGTGTTTATTTATTTATTTGTGCAATTAATAATTTGCACTGGGACCCTTTTTAAAGGAGTTCCCATTTAGACCAAGAGGAAATTAATCATTTAAGAAAACAGCAGGGTTTTTTCTTCTTCTTCTGCTTCTTCTGCTTCTTCTGCTTCTTCTGCTTCTGCTTCTTCTTCTTATTATCATTGACACTCACTACTTTCTGAAATTTCAACCCCTTTTTATTGTTTTCATCTGTGACGTCCCCTCAGGGAGATTTTACTGTGAGCTGCACTCTGAAGAGCTGGAGCTGGGAAACGGGGCTGAGACATCTTGTAAGGTGGGTCACTGAACAGAACAGATCTAAAGCATTCTGTTGCTTCCTGCTCCAGACTCCATGTTGAGTCCTTGTGTTCCTTGTGTTACACAATCTTCTGTTGCATGATGCATCATCCTTCTGGTGCCTGGTCCGATGTCAGCAGCCTGCACGATGGCAGCAGTTAGACACCACTAATGAGAGTGTTTGTTTAAAAACATATGCAAGCTGTGGATGAGTTCATATTAAACAGTGATTTCTATTTTTTTTCTTTTCGTTTTTTTTTTTATATTTTTCAATGCTTTTTCTCTATTCAGGATAGCAAAGAAATTCACAAAGAAGAGAATGGGGTTTCCAGCGATGATTATACACTGTCTCCATCGGACGAGGAGTATGAGCACACTTTGGACTGTGTTCCCTCTTCGCACACAATGTCACACAACCCTGATGGACAGGACCAGCGCATACTTGAATCCACAGAAGAGTCCCAAGAACCAGAAACTTCCTCAGATCCTCCATCTAAGACAGATGTAGCAGCTCCCGCTGAGGGGGAGATACAGGAGCTTCCATCCATAATTCCCTACCCTGTCCCCAAGCCACGCCTCTCTCGGCAGACTACACCCAGCCCTCAGCCCTCCCCTCCAATAGCAAAACCTCGCATGGTCCACCTTTTTAACCCCTCAACTCTAGAAGATCACTCATCTCCGACCGCTCCGAACGAGATCTCTAAAGTGGCTCCAGACTCCCGTCCTAAGCAGTCGCTGCGGAAACTCCAGCTGACTGACGAGGAGAAAAGCCAGCTGGTGAATCTTCAGAGTTTCAGCGCCGACTCGGACTCTGAGACTCCCGGTGGGTCCTCATCCTGCTCGTCTTCCTCAGCCACAGCAGGAGGTCCGAGCCCTCCCAAACCAGAGGGCCTGGATGGGCAAGAAGAGGAGGGCTACTGGAGCGGCAGCACTGCTAGTCACATCAGGGAGAAGAGGAATCGACGCTGTTTCAGGAGGAAAGAAATGCCAAGCGGACAGACCAGAGTACGATCCAAGTTTTCCCCCTGGAATCTCTCTTCCCCGAGGATCAGCAGAGACACCCGGCTCAGTGTCCTCATTAATCATCCAGGGAGAGTGGGTAAGGACTCGTCTTCTCTTTGATCTCGAGGAAAAAAAAAATACTTCCAGGGAAGAAAAAGTTTGCTGTGGTGTTTCTGAGTCAGTCCGGGTTCATTGTGACGCTTATTACAACCTATTTTTTTTATGTACAGAAACAACATTCAGACATGTTCACAGCACCTCCGAAGAGGGAGCTGATGGAGACGACGATGATGACGACGACGACGACGATGATGATGAGATGTTTGAACGAGATGATATTGACTTATATGATGAGAAAGTAAGGAGAGGAATGGATCTGATGTTTTCATTTTACATGATGAAGAGCAGCTACATATTTACCTGCATTGCACTCCCACTGATGATGCATCACCTGTAGTTTCAGACTGTGCCATCAGACCCTGTGGAGGCTGAGAAGCTGGAGCTGATGAAGATGAGGACGCTGGAACGACGAGCCAAGATGAGCGAACTACAGCGATTGCGCAAAGCACAGGTCAGTGTCTCTCTCACAGAATTACAGTGTCATGTTTTTTGGTCAGTGGCTTCTTCAGCTTCACTCAATAGCTCTTAAATTTGTGAACATTAAGATTAAATGTCCTGGCTTCTTCTATTTTTAGAATTTTTGCATATTTTTAAAGTTATAATCCTTATGATTTCTCTCCTCGTTGACTTGAAGACACCTGATGTTACCATGGTAACAACAACTTTGGTCTAACACTTCAAGCCCTAGCACTCAGGGTGCAGCAAACTCTCCTTGAGCAGCTAGTTTGTCAGAAATACAACAGGAGAGAAGCTGGTGAATCAGTTCACAGCACAAACAAACAAACTCGAGTTGATCAATAATCAGCCTTTTCCCATCATGGAACAACCATGGCCTGATTTCATGCTGCTCATGCCAAGAGTACTTGTTGGATGTGTGCAGCCTGTCGGCTCACTGTGGCTGCTTCCTCTCATCCCATTACTCCTGCAATATTTAAAACTGATCCACTCTCAAAAAATACCCAACATAAAAGAAATACATTGTGTTGCTGCATCACAATAAAAGCCACACCGTGTTTCACCAGTTGAATGCTTTTAATGTGAAGCAGCAGCAGCAGCAGCAGCAGGAAAAGTTCGGTTTGATATGGTGTAAAGAGAGTGAACTGTGAGGCTGATATCAATGATGATAAATTCACAAACAGTAACGCTGGATTACATGCTGCATCATTTTCTGTTAGCCTCTTGTGTGTGAAGGCAATTTTAATTCTGTGTGGGAATGGCAGAATCCAGTGCTAATACACTGAAAAGTACTATATAGAGAGGTAATTATTGAGTGTAAATACATTCAATTGCTACTGCAGAACAAATGCAGACCATAAATAGTATCCAAATGGGGTTTGATTTCATATAAATTTCACAGATTTTAATTTAAGTGTGTGTTTGCTCGAGTGCCTTTCTAACTCCTTGTTTTTGTGGGTTAAAGTCCATCCAGAGGAGACTGGAGGAGATCGAGGTGACCTTCAAGGAGCTGGAAGTGAAAGGTGTAGTTCTGGAGCAAAGTCTGCGAGGAGAAGATGGTAAGTTTATATATCCATATAAATAATATTAACAACAGACCCACATTTTTTAATTCCCGATATAATAAAAGCTCCTTGTTTTCATTTTATTTTATTTTTAATCTGATTTTCACACAGATTTTGTACCCCATGTTATCAAAAGGGTGTCCTACTGCCAGAAGACTATTGCTAACTACTGTAGTTGTTAGTAAATGAGGTCCTCTCTCTTGTGCTAATAGAAAATCAAGAGAACAATGTACGAGGGTCCAAATCACCTGCTGTTGATTTTAGAGGGAGAGTACTAGAAATACTTAACTAAAAAATACAGTACATGTATGTGGTTTAATGTGGTTAAAATGGTAAACACTGAATCTTGTAAGTCGGCTGAATTTGAACAGCTTCCAGCAATCGCTCATATATACATATTAGCCTAAGGGCACCCAGTTTCTCTGCAGACACTAGATGTTATTTCACGTGCAGCACATACAACAACATCTTGTTCCCATACACTGTATACAGAATTTCCATACAAGCCTCTCTTCCTCTTTCTCTTTTTAAATATTTACATATAAATATAACATCACTCACAGGCACCCAAACACTGAATTCTTCCTCTTCCAGACAGTAGCGGTTCTCCTGACATGATCGAGCATTGGATCCAACTCGTGCACGAGAAGAACGCACTGGTCTCTGAGGAGTCTGACCTCATGGTGGCGTAAGTGTGCGCCTTACATTGGCTCGCTGGTAAATTATAAGATACACAGTAAAATCCCATGTAGTCACACTGGGAATACAACACAGCTTTTGTGGATAGGAGAACATACACAGTAGTCAGAAGGTCCATAACATCAGACTTCCACATCGAAACACTGCGCTGCTTGTTCCCACCATGGTACCAACCAGTCGTCTTCCTTACAGTCAAGCTCTATTTGTCATATGGCCTCGTAGTGACCTGCAGCTAAAGCAAGATGCAATGTGGACATGGCTCAGCTGATGTTTGTTTTTTCTCTTAGGTCTCGACAGCTGGAACTGGAAGACAAGCAGAGCATGTTGGAGTTGGAGCTCAGGAAATACATGGAGCTGAATGGTGTGCACACATGGAAACATTTGTTGTTGACGTTGTTGTTGACTTGAACTGGCCCATTGATTTTGATGCAGCTCAAGTTAGCAGCCCAACTGAATATAATCAGTGCATTTTAAAAAACACACTGTATTTCCATGAATATGAAACAGTATCTGTTTATGGAAATTAAATTTGAAGGGGGGTGTATTATATTCAAAGACTAGACAATTGTTCATTCCCAACATCAGATATTCTTTTTGAACTGGCTCCTAGAGAGAGTGTTGCATTATGGGATGATTGTTGTTTGTAAATGTTGCAAGGCAAGTGAATTTCTTCAAGTCCATTTATAGTGTGTCATTTAGCGTTGGTCATCCCTCAGGACAGGTTCACATTTTCTCAGGTCTGTCTTAAAACAATACTCACATGATCATGTGTCCACATAAACGCCTCAACCCTCAAAACCCCACTGTAAAGCTAATTGGAGACTTAGCAGTCGAAAAAAGTGGGTATTTTCCAAAGATGTTGAAATATATTTTTGCACACTTTGTGATTTTTTTTTGGCCAGGAGGAGCGATTAAAGTGACCACCAGTGTTTTCAGTGTACATATGCGCATATGAGTATTGTGTTTAAAAGAGGCTTGTTAATCCATCCTTTAAAATGTGTAGGAGGCCCTGTTTCACCTGCAGCATCTTCTGATGGCTTCTTTCAAGGGGTTTTGCTGCTTTGGAGGAAATAAGCTCCTGACTAGTAAAAACAAGTATCGCTGGGAAACATTCCCATCAGGACTCATCTTAAATTGCTTTGTATCTTCCAGGTGTTGGAAAAGGCTGGGTCATCTTATAGTCAGGCTTAATTTAATTTTTAATTCAAACCTGCAGTAACTAATTATTTTGGCCACTTGGGGGTAGCAGAAAACAAGTTGTGAACACAACAGAATACTTTATCATCATCTTTTTAAGATGGTATGACAAACTTATTAGAAAATAGTTACTTATCTACAATTCCAGCTGTTATGGAGTAACATCAGCATTAATTTAGAGTCTCTTTTAGCTCTGTTTTTTGGTCTCTACCAATTCCTGAGGGAAACATGTGACTCTTCTGCCGCTAAATGCTCCACTATGTGCACCAGCAGGTCAATAACTGTGTCTGAGCAGGTAGTGTACAGGGGGGTTTTTCAGAGCTGTTTAGCTGAAAGCAGCTGCTGTCTGCTGTGGCTGAAAATGAATGAAAGCAGTGAGAGTTAACCAAATCAGTGAAGTTGCAGGACAGATAAACAATGAGCTGAAACTTTCTAAAACTGAGGAGCTGCAGATTCAGATTCAGGAGCGACCCCTCTCACATTGTCATGGATATGTTGTTTTTGTAAATACATTGATTATATCTGCTTTAAAGTGTGCACATGTGTTTGTCTGGCAGACAAGACAGCAGAGCAGCAGGCAGAAGAGGATCGAGTCCTCCACCAGATGATCGAGGTGGTGGACATGAGGGACTCTCTGGTGTCGTTTCTGGAGGAGAAGAGGCTGAAGGAGATCAGCGAGGAGCAAGAGGCCTTCTCCATTAAGGAGGCCAAACGGCACTCGAAGGCAGGAGCTCAGGTTCACTGGGCATAAAGCTTACACACACACACACACACACACACACACACACACACACACACACACACACACACACACACACACACGCTCAGCATGAACCTGTATGTACTGCACAGTAGATGCTCGCACATCTACTGTGTGTGAGATTTGCTGCTTTCAGACTTGGAACCTGAAACTTTTGCAAAGCCAAAGATGATACGGCATCGTTGTGGAAGGTGACCCACCACGAGCGGTCCCTCAGCGATTAGGATTAAGAGTTCAGGCTTACGGGCTGGAGGCTGAATGAATATCACTTGCAAAACCAGCCCCTAGAGGGAGACATAAACCTTGAGATCTGAGGCTTTGAGTTGATGTGTCCAACAACTCTCTGACTAAGCCCTGCCTGCTGTGAAAGTGGAGTCACAGCAACAAACCCCACACGAAAAAAGGATCTCTAGTGTCTGTTGCACTATTGAACAACCACCACACAGCGGGTAATCGTTACCCACTCTTGGACTTGGCCTGGTTTGGTCATGACATGTGACTTGAGTGCAAAGCAGCATTAAATTACAGCAGTGGGAAAAGTGCAGTCGCTGGCTTTGGAGCCTTACAGATAGATCTAGGTTTGATGTTCATGATTTTACTTGTCATCATGAATAGGTACTATTGTACACAAAGACATAATATTACATATCATAATTCTATGTTTGGTATTTGTATACTGAATAGAAATATGATGAAGGTTAAAAAAAAATAAGAGGTAGTTAAAATATTAGTATTATTATATACAGTAAAATTCAAGTATTCATTACTTTTGTTTCTTATCCAGTTTTCCGTTTTGAATGTCAATGAATTTTGTAGCACTTCCTGCTGTTCACCACGTCCTCTCCTGACAGCACGTTGGATAGTTAATCTCAGGGGTTGCTAGTTCAGTCCTCTAGGATCAGAGTTAGGGTTTTCACCGATGGCCTTCAACAGTCGGCTGCTTTTTAAGTGCTGGTGTAATATATGAACATGTGGGATTCTGGGGGTGAATGGAAAAAGAGACCTAACTAGGTTCATCTATTTATAAACTGCTATCATTTATCATTCGCCGGTGTTCCTATTCATGTGCTGGCAGATTAGCCAAAATCAAGAGAAAGACCAGTATGTTGTTAGAGAAAAGGAGCCTTATATATTCATTGTTCTGCTGCCATTTTGTGCCACCTGGGCAGAACTTCACAGTATATCAAATAAAGATCATGCACTTTGGTGTTTTAGTTTTGATGTTTCTGATAATACAATGAACTCCTCAGAGGTGCCTGTTATTGCTAAGTGTTTTGCATGTTTAGTGAGTGGCTGGGTAGCCATAAACTTGGTCATGCAGTACAGTAGACTATAGTTGTATAAAGGGTTTGACTGCCCCTGCTGTTCTAACTTCCAAGTAAGTGTGTGTGTGAGTGAGTGAGACAGGCAAATTGTAAAGTACTTTGGATGACAGCACTATATGAATTCATTAATATTGGATCATTATTATTATTGATGTATTAATGCAGTTGTTTTCAAAGTCTGAGACTGTGGACCTCCCCTCAGACAAACCTCACCCCACGGTAGTTTACGTGCTTTGTTTTGCTCAATTCCTGGATGCCTGTGGGATCATGATTGTTATTTGATCCCACAGACACCCAACAATTGAGCCAAGGTGGCCAAATACTGCTGTTTGACATAACTTGAGAGAAAACCAAATACATAAAAAAAGGGCTGTCCTAAGGTTTTTATTAGTTTCTGACTCTGGGAAAGTGGGAAAAACTGTAAATTCCCCAAAGCCTCTGTATCTCTGAACTATCTCTTTAACCAAATCACACACATTTAGTCTAATTTACTTGATCTCTTTTTTTTCATTACTAACATACTAACTTGTAATATTTTTTCCCTTCCATTCACTGAGCCTCCCCTGTGAGGCCCACCTCCCACTTTGATAACCTCTGTATTAATGTATAAGCAGAATTTTTAATATTGTAGATGGTCGAGATGGAGCTAATGTACACAACTTTACGTACTAGAGGGTTTGTTCTATAAAAACACATCTTATATCTTATTTAATTAGATTATATGTTTTATATTTAAAATCTTAATCTGCATTAAAAACTACAATAGTTCCCTCTGACATGTGTATACAAAATAGAAAAAAGCAAAAAATAGAAATACTCAAGTAAAGTACAAGTACCTCTAAACTATACTAGTAAAGTAAAACTAAAGTATATTCGTTAAGTAAATGCACTTGCATCTTAAATCCTGCAAAATTAAATGATTTGTTTGATCCAGATTTGATCTTTTTTCTCTTCTAAGGGTGTTGGTAAATAAATAAAACTGAAAAACTAAATCCGGCAATTTTAAAAATCAACATTTCAAAAAGAAAGCTGAGGTCAGATGCTACTCACGCTCACACAGCCACGTCAGCCTCTCATTCACCTCTGTCAGCTCTTCAGTTAGGCTCAAAGACGTCCATTCTTTTGAATCAGACAGGATAATTCATTGAGAATAATAAGTCTGACAAAGATCATCCAAAAAGAAGAAGTACGTATGTACAGATTGAGAAGAAATGCTCATGTAATAAAGCCTTCTACAGATTAAATCCTCAAAATGTTCAGATATTGGATGATATACTTCAGTAAATAACTTTTTTTGAGAGGGCAATTTTGGAAAGTAACCCTTCAAATGCAAAACAAAAAAAGCTCAATGAGTGGGCACCATTAAGAGGAGCCAAATAGAACAGAGGTAATCGTTTTAACCTCAGAAAAGCATGTTTGTTGACTAGCTGTAAGCATTTTTCAGCCCTTCTGACCATACGGAGGAAGCCCATGTGGAGGATGAGCAGCACTATTTCTGGATGTTCTGAAATGGAGCATAAAGGTGAATAATTACAGTAGATGATTACAGCCCACACACTTGTTTATGTTTATTCTAAGAGACTTTTAACACACTTGAACAGTGGTTAATTACTTTATATAACTTTTTTTGTTATATGTTTATAGTGTCGAAATGTCTCACATGAGTCAGTAGTTTCATTCACCGATTTAAATTTAATCTCAGGTTATATGAGCAGTGAACAGTTTTAGTAACAATTAAATTACCTCATATAACACTTTATAGGCCAAAATAGATATTTGTTTGATGGATTTGAATCGTGATTAACTTCACTGAATTGTTTGTTGAAGATCTGAAGATGTGATGAGTATAAATGTTCTTCTTTGACTCAGGTTATATAAAGTATTGAACGTTTACCTGATCCCTTTAGTGTAATCCTATTGACCATTAATTAACTCACCAAAGATCTTAACAGCCTGAGGCGGTGTTAATTGTTGTCCTCTGTGGAGAATGGACAACTTTGTTTTACATCACTTTAATGACATAACTGAAGCTGCAATCCAGGATAATCCCACTTATAAAGGTCAGAAAGTTCAAACTGATCCTGTTTTTTCTCTTCTAAGCTTGTAGATGATGTAAGGTTCACATGAGTGTGTGGTGTAATTCTGTCATGTACAGCGGTGGAAGAAGTACTCTGATCCTTCAGTAAAATGATCAATTCCCTTATAAAAGTAAAAGTCCTTCATTCTGAAATTTATTTAAGCAAAAGCAACAGAAAAACCTACTTACAGTATCAAAAGTAAAAGTATTAATTATGTAAAATGGCTCTTTTTATTCTGCTGTGAGACTATTATTGATGCTTTAATGTGTAAGTTACATTTAATTATTGTAGTTGGTGGAGCTTATTTTAACTGCTTTAAATACTGTTGAGCAGTTTATTCTGTCATCGTATACAGACATTTCTATCTTAATTTAAGTCTTAAAATCCTAACTTTAAAATCAAATCAACTTGCTTAAACATGTTTTGGATATTAGTTTTTATATCTTGAAACAAGAAATAACACAGGTTTCTAAACAAAAGACTAAAAGATGTTAAGTTAAATAAATTTAAGTAAATTTGCTGTGAATACAATATTGGAATATTCTTACAGCTCTGTCAGATTTATTTTTCACTGTTTTTGGAAAAAAAAAAGGACTTAATTACTGACAAAAATAGCTTGATATTTTTACACAACAATGCATCATATTTTAGAAAATAATTTTGTGTTTCATATGTAAAATGTTAAAATGCAAAGTAAGAGCTCCAGCTGTCAGATAGTGGAGTAAAAAGTACAATATAGGAGTATAAGTACAAACTAGTGAAGTACCTGAATATTGAGAAGCAAATATACTCATTTACTTCTCACTACTGATTATACTGTGGTATCTATTCCTGTAATATTATATCAGTGTGTGTGTGAGGCCATTGTGAGCACTGTTGGGAATCAATCAGCAGAATTACTTTGTGGAATGATCTGATTTTTAAACCCTATTTTTATTGTGTTTTAAACAAGTGGAAAACACAGACAATACAAAATGTAAAGGAAAAATATTGGACTTTATATCTTATTTTATCCATTAGATGTTCCCCAATTTATTTTTTTGAAATTTTTCAATACCACAATATTCATTTATATCCCAGTATAAAATTACAGACAATTTACTGATAGATGATTTTATGCAAAAATATAGAACTGCATATATGTTTTAATAATTAGCATGATAGTACAGATTATGACAGATTAAGTCATGTACTATCTTTTGAACAAATATTTCCTGGTATTTAAAACTGCTCAAACACTCTAATAGCAGCTGGTACTAACTCAGACCCAGTGACTGTGCTGCCTTCCTGCAGTTTAACATCCGTCATCAAAGCTGACACTCATTACAGGAGCTGTTGTCTCCTGCGGGCCTGATGCCTCCTCTCCTGATTGGAAAAGACTTCAGCTCATTCTTCTCCTGGGAAAAAACCCCCACCTGAAATGGAAGATGACCATGACAACCTCTTGAACCAGTATCCATGACAACATGATGAGCCAGTTCAGCTATTGATATTTTCACTCTCTATTTGCAGCACATGCCCTAAAACTCAGGTAGGCTGCTTTTAAAGCCATGAAACTCATCCAGGCAGACGGAGTCACACTGGTTCATCACTGCAGCCTGTGATGGCAGATAGAAATCATTAAAACAAGTTTTTGTTGACCTTCAACACCTACCTGCATCGCTCTAGCTGAGTCGTGCCTTTTGATTTGAAATATTTATGGATAATTTATTTTGCATGGCACAAGCAGAATTGGTTTGTTTGCAGTAAATAAACGAACAGAGACGGCCGACAGTGCTATAAACGTGACCTGTCCTTTGTCTCTGTGTACTGTGTGGCTCCGCGTGTGGCAGGTGAAATAAACACCTGATGCAGATTAATACATAAGCCTGTTAAAGGTTGCCTCTGAAGACCACAGTGCATGCTGCAGCATGCTCAGAGCCTAATGCTGCAGTCACAGTGTATAACCCAGATACAACGTTTCTACTGAAGTGATGTGAACACAAGTTTCCAAACACATTTCCTGTTTGTTGTAGGCACCACTTTATCCTATGGCACCTTTACTAATGGTTTATAGGATGTAATGGGTTTGTAATGGGTAAACCACTCCACTGGGCCATTTGACCTTTCAACTGCAGATTTGATGGATTTGTGCAATAAATAAAAACTCTATTAATGCATTGCATTAATAACTTTACTAGTACAGTGATAACATCACTAGTAAGTATTCAGTCATTCTTGGAAGTGTCCATGTCTTTTTTAGACCTTGGTGCAAACTATTCTCTCCCTTTGTTTTCAGAAATCATATAATCAGGCCTTGGTCAAGGCTGTAATTGCTGCCAGAAGCACATGTACTATAGTGAGGAGGTAAATATGCTGCCAAGTATTTTGTATTTTATATTAAAGGTCCCATTTACACTTTTTTGATGTTTTATTTGATGTGCTGATGACCATAAGAAGATTTATTTGTGGTTTTAATGTAGTTTTACATCTACTCTTTCAGGCTTCTCTCTGAAGCTCTAGTAACAATAGGTCGGTGAGCCAATCAGAAGAGACACACTGAGCCTCTCTTCTAATCAGCTGACTGTTTTCTGAGTGATCAAATAAAAATATAGCAGATTTCAGGCACACACTCAGCGAAAACAAACCCTGCAAGGCTGGATGGTGGGTCCAGGTGGGCTGGGCTTGGGGCTAGTCTGAGAGCGGTCACATCACAAAGTTACAGAAGTCCTGACGGCTCATTTTAAGGCTCAGTTTCTGAATACAGGCTGTATGCATTTCTCTATGGACTGAGCACTTTGACACTTTCACTTTACTAATATAGAACCTAGACCTGCTTTATAATCAAAAACGACATGGAAATATACCTTTATACTATATGAGACCTTTAATAATTAATTAGGTCTTCTGTAGAGATCTCTTTTTACTTTGACACTAAAGGTTCTGTTTCTGTTGATCAGTTTTAAAGAGGCCACATTAAATGTAAAACAATAAAAGTAAAATGAATACTTTTTATTGGAGCTGTCTGTAACAACAATTAATGAATCCATTAGTTACAACCAAGAAACGCTTTATTATTTATTAGCCCTATTAGAAAGTGCTGCCCTGTTGTCATAGCGATATTCACTGATGTTATTCTGACCATGCATTTCAAAATGGTAGTTCACTTCTATCAGTGCTGAGAAGACCTGCCCAGACTGGTGTGCGCGTGCGCGTACCTGCGCGTGCACATGCACATGGAGTGGGCTGTTGTGAATGAATCGCGCTGTTTTTGATAAAGCTGCTCCTCTCTGCGTCAGACGCGCCGTTTTCTGTGTAAAAGAGAGATGAATGATGCAGCAGCTGCAGCAGCAGCAGCAGCACCCTGGACTGAAGCCTGCGCCTTAAGTCTCAATGAGCACCTGTGACACCGTCAGCCCCTCCCCTCGCCTCTCTCCATGGATGTAATCTCCGACTTGCCAACAGGTATTTGCGAGGTCCCAGACGAAGTAATCTGTCCAGACCGCGGCGAGCTATTGGCAGAAGAGTCAGAGCAGAGCTCCTGCAGCGCACAGTCTCTAGGTAAGTCTCAGTCAATGTGCTGGCGAGTGAACCTCTTCTTCATCAGGTGAAACACTTGGATCTGAACGACTCAAACTACATTGTTTTTAATCAGTAGAGCTGCAGCCTGGGGACTGCGTGTTGTAGCCAAGAATCAGGCAGAGCAGAGCGTCAGTGTTTCCTAATTTGTATTCTGCCAGTAATGTGAGTGTGTTGAGTTTCAGCATCATGAGTCATTTTCTGAATCTAAACCTGCTTGTATCTGATTCTGTGAGAGCGGTGTGGTTGGAGCTTGATCTGAATGTCTGATCGCTCGCCTTTTTGCCGCAGAGTGATCTTTCCGCTGGTGCCGCAGCCAACTTGGTCCCGCATGTTGTATGAGAGTAGAGGAAAGGGGCAGAGCAGCACGTCTCTTTGTTTCTGTGTTATCCTTTTACAGGTGGTTTAGCGTCAGTGTAAAAACGTGTAGCTCGACTGTAAACCTACAGGTAAAGGATGATAGTGTTATCTGCTCTATTAAGAAATTGTTTTTAAAAGATGTATATTCAAATGTGGATCACTGCTGCAGGTTTTAACTGTGCAAACTAGTTTTGCGTGTTTTTTTTTGTGGTTTTGGACACATTTTCAATTTCTCCATCATTCAGTGTGTCTGCATGAGAGTCCGTGTCAGGTAGGCTACAGCTGATAGGCTGCTCTTGTGGACCTGTGATCCTCTCCTCCCATGTTCTGACCTTAATGCCTCTGTGTAAGAAAGAAATACTGCAGAGTGAACAACAGGGAAGTAAAAGGTCTGAGACCCTTTTCTGTATGCGGGAGACATCAGGTCCTCAGAGCTCATCTCTCTGTGAACAGACACTGTTTGAATCAGTGAGAATCAGCAGAGATGCATTAATATATAAATGTCATATCTTGCAGTAAATTCATTGCACTGTAATGTTTGATTCAATGTGAATATGCAAGGACTGGACAACATGTTTTGTTTTCCTTATCTGTTATTCATAGATTTCTATATACTCGTGCTGTAGGATCAACAAGTACCTTTTTGTGGTAGCTGCATCAAAAGATATTTGTTTGAGGGTCTTCTCCGGTGTTGATACCCGTGACAAGGTCAGGTCTCCAGATGAAGAGTTAACTAATCCCTTATATAAGAGAAAAGAGGGCAGGAAAGCAAACTGGGTAACCTGTTAATTTAAAGTGCTCCTAATCCTCCTCAGTACCTTAAGTTTTATTGGATAAGTAATTCTCTCCAACTTTCTTATCCTCATAGATTTTCATTATTTTAGCAGAGACAGCTATTTTGCTTAACATAAAAGCAGAGTATCATGATGTGATCATAAGAGTTGTGCAGGAAGTATTTCAGTAGTTTATTATTAATTTTATTTGAGAGCAGCTTTGTTAATTTTCAAATACACATTGTCTAACCAATGCAGAAAAAATTCAAGGCAACAGGTTCCTCTTAGTCTTCCTCTTGTTTGACATCTCTGACAGATTATTGCTCAGCCTTATTCAGCAGTGTCATACAGTGTCATCTGGCCCCGGTGTGGGCCAGGACTGGCACTGCTCCACACCTTCCTGTGTGCTCGTTAAGAGCATGGATTAGTGCGCTAACCTTTTGTCTGCCAGACAAAGGCTCATGTCTGTGTCATCGGCTGCGTCCTCCTGCAGACAGTCTGAGCAGCGCAGCAGACAAACCAACCTTCACACCTGCTTTCTCATGACTCTTCAATAATCCCACAGGACTTTGTCTTTATGATGATGGAGGTGTCTGGACATTAAGCGGAGAGGATTATTGCCGCCTTGATGCAACTGCACGCAGAAGTTTCGAACCCTCTAAGGAAACAGGAGGACTGTGGAACTTCTCTGTTTAGTGACATCTGTTCTTATGCCTTTTCTTTCTCCTTGCTTCTGAAAGAAATCCCCGTAGAAGCATCTGCAGACATGGGTCGTCAGGAGGCTGACTACATGTGGAAGAAGGACACAGAAAATATCCAGGAGGTGTTTGACATCATGGAAGAGTTGGGATCGTAAGTACATTTTATCCCAATGTGAGACAGCAGCATCTATTTACATTAAAAGTATTGATTTATTCAAGAAATCTTAACATTTATTGAGCTGGCTGGTTTTAATTTCCTGTTCAGTTTTTGAGTGCACTGCACAATTTTTTCCTGTTTTTCTTAGAACCCTTGTGAATATCTGGATGTTTTGCTTGAGTGATATTGAGAGGAGTTGCAGTAAAACTTATTTTATCCAGAAATGCTACGGACATGGCCTGCTTATAGACTCTCAACATGCTGTTAGAGTTACAGAACAGATTACTGGTTTGATTGGATTAACACGAGGAAGCCTACTTTACTGCAGTCTTAGACAACAAGATGCTCAGGCTGTTAGAGGGTTAGTCTGACTTTCCTGATGGCGCCTGGCTGTGAAGTCAGCTCAGCAGTTCATTCACAAAAACATTTACACTTTAAATTATTACTTTTTTTTATCTTTCATTGTCCCATATTGTATAAAGTGAGATTTCCATGTCTTTTTGATTATAAATAAAGTCTAGGTTTTATATTAATACTATGAAAGAATCAAAGTGCTCAGAGAAATGCACACAGCCTGTATTTTGGTACTTAAAACAAATAAAACAAATTTATTTTCTTATGGATATCAAAACATAAAATAAAACAAGGAAAAGTGTAACATATGGGACCTTTATGTTGTGATATTTCTCCTCACAAAAAAGAGAAGAAAATGTAAAAAATCTGTTTAGAAAGCAAGATCTGAGAAAATTAGACAATTCATCTATTAGTTGATTGACAGGAAAATAATCAGCACCTATTTTCTCATAATTAAGGTCATTTTTAAGCAAAATGTTCTGCTTCCACCTTCTCAGCTGAAGTATTTGCTGCTTCTCTTATGTGATAATAAACGGAACGTCCTTGGATTTTTGACTGTTATCAGACAAGATATTTGGTCACCACCTTTGGCTTTAGGAAAAAATGATGGGCATTTTTCACTATTGTCTAACAACAATTATGAGTGAATCAAGAAAGTAACTAATTCATTAATCAATAATGAAATTAACTGTTAGTTGCAGCCCTAAAAGCAAGGAAACTAATAGGATACCAGATGGTCTGCACTGTTTTAAGTTCACCTGCAACTCCAGCTGATGGTTCATGTTACTGTATACATCACTGTATACTGGTGCACACACTCTGTTTACAGTCTCTTGTTCTGGCCTATTTTTTTGTGAGGTCAGCATCAATGATCAGCAGGTCTTCAGACGCTGTCGAGTAATTAGCGAGTGGCTGGAGAACAATAGTAAATAAAGGTGCAAGGAAGCGAGCGCTGCCGGAATGACATCAGTGTGTTGTTGGAAAAAACAGACCGGCTCCGTGCTGCTGAGGGCCGAGAGGTTTTTGTCAGCTGTGATTGGACTGGGTGAGGGAGGCAGTGCAATCTAATATGATCTAATATGTGGTGCAATTAGTCTGAAGCAATTATATTGAGTTCCCCAAACAATCTGAAGAAAACACGATGAGACACAAACAGGATGTTGAATGCTTTCTGCTTCAGTCTGAGCCACTGATTTTGCTTTATTGTCTGTTGAGTATGTCAACAGAGAGGACAAACAGACAGCTGTTCTGCCCTTTCTCAGATGTATTGTTAAGTGTTTTTTTTTTTTTTTGTCTTCCTGTCTTCTGACACCAATAAAAGGAAGAGAATCCAAAGGGGACAGGAGACTGCGTAGAACACCGAATGCAGCCTTTCCCATTGGGCCTCATCACACATAGCATAAACAACATCCTAGTGGTTTCTTAGCAATCAGGACGCGGTCTCTTCAGGCGCAAGATTAAGCCCCAGAATGTCTCATGAAATACGAAGAGATTTCCATTTAGTCCAACATCTTTGGATTTTAAACTTGCAAATGTACTCAGCGTGTCAAGTGATTTCTGATTGCCCTTCTTTTTTTTCTTTCTTTTTTTAAAGGATGCTGTCTGGCTTTCATGCTCAGGCCTTGATTGATGATTTCCCTTAAGAGTCACAATAAGCTTCAAGGAGATGCTAGGAAGAAAATGAGCTTTGTTAACCAGGGACAAATCAGTCGAGCAATGGGATGTGAAGCACTGTGATGATGCTGTCTGCCTCCCTGAGCAAGCATATGCAGTGTGTATGAGTGTGTGTGTCAGGCAGTTGCAACAACGCCATCTAAATGTGACACAGTACACTTACTAGCAAATCCAATATGCAATATGGGAAATAAAAGCTTTTATTTCCCATGTTGCTTTTAAATAAACAAGATTAAAGTTGCTCTCATACTCCTGCAGCTGTGTGCACTGATCTTCATTAGTGCGCATTCCTTCATCCTTCAGGGTCAGTGTCGTCACTTCATAGACAGAAGGCAGGGAAGGGTGTTCCCACAGCCTTTGACACCTGTCTGTGACCTGACCTGTACTGTACTGTACTGTATGTAAGAGCTTGTTGTTCCCAAGGATCCCTGCCGCACATGCTCAGTTTCTGACCTATGCACATAAGGCCCTGGGCCCGCCGCTGTTTCCATTGCGTCAGGGATAAAGAGCCTAATCCACCCGGTAGAACAACTATTCCCAGACAGCGCTGAAGATAGCATGGACATGGAACAGCACGGAGAATAATGAGCCTCTGACATGTGAATAGTTAAGCCACAGAGATCTTTGGTAGATCTTAATTGAACCCCCTGATATTGCTATTTCTGCTGTGTGTTTATTAAAATTCTGATACCCAGTGTGATGCAATTAGGTAATGACTATTACCTTCTATTATATTCTAAATAATGACTTCACCTATGTTTGAAACTACAGTCCTGCAAATAAATGCTGAAAAACAATAAGAATCACATTTGACCTACTATATTACTGAGAAATGGAAGTAAGAAAAAGCTACTCCTGATTACCTGAGACTAATGGAAAGTAGACCCATCAAGAGGCCAATACTCTTTATTGTTAAGGTCCCTGTAGTTTAACAACCTATTTTAATAATCTCAAAGGTAAAACTAATTTCTTCTTTCTGTGAGACCTGCAATATCTTCCTGTGCTGTTTCAAAGCAGTTAACCACGTCATCACCAATAACTCATGATGGCTGTGTGTTTGTGTGTTAATGAACAGGGGGGCGTTCTCAGAGGTCTACATGGTGAAGGAGAAGAAAACGGGAAAGATGTTTGCCATGAAGTGTGTGAAGAAGAAGCAGAAGAGGGACCTCAATCTGGAGAATGAGATAGCCGTGTTGAGAAGGTGATTCAATACGTGACTTCAACTTTCATTTCATATTCTCTCAGTAGTCAGTGTGGGGAGTAATCCCATTGATCTGCTCTCTTTTAGCTGTGGTTACTGTTGAAGATATGTGAATTCTGTTGTGGAATAATAATGAAAGTACCTTGTTATTTTCTCTCACAGAATCAAACACGACAATGTTGTGGGGATGGAGGATTTCTACGAGAGTCGGACCCATTACTACCTTGTCATGCAGCTGTGAGTTTTCCAGTTATTATCTTATTACTTTATGATCAGGTTAGCTAATTTAAGATTTCACATTGTAATGGTAGTGATTTGTTCTCACCAGTGTTGCAGGCGGTGAACTCTTTGACCGTATTCTGGACCGGGGGGTTTACTCAGAGAAGGATGCCAGCAGGGTGATCCAGCAGGTGCTGCAGGCCGTCAGCTATCTGCATGAGAACGGCATAGTGCATCGAGATCTCAAGGTATGAACCTGACACCAAGTACGTTTTTGAGATTAGCCAAATTACTGAATCTTTTATTGAATATTACGATTTTTTTTTCTCAATAGGGACACTCATAACATTACAGTTAATCACATTATTTATTTTGTATTGTATGCTTCACTTGGTGCTAAGTAAGAATAATATGGCAAAATTTGATACTAATTTAAGGAGACCCCTGACCTCCCAGAAACCATCTACTACAACTTCATCCATCAATCTATACCTGCTTCTCCTTTGCAGGATCACAGAGGCTATTTAAGCACTTATATTGTAACACTGTATACATGACCATTCTTCAGAGTTAACACTACTTTTAATGTTTAAAGATTATATCTGTTCATTCAGTATGCTACAGCCAGCAGACTTATTTTATCTTATTTTATTTTTATGACTGGAAACAGCTAATCTGGCTTTTACCAAAGGCAACAAAACTCAAATATTAGCATTTCTAAAGCTCACTAATTAACACATTTCTTGTTGGTTTACCAAGTTGTAAAAATGATAAATTTTCAATTTAACAGCGGGTTATGTGCCAGATTATTTCTTGGCAGTAATTTTCTGGATTTTGTTCCCTTTGGTCAAAGCCAGGCTAGCTGTTTCATCTTGTTTCCAGTCTTAATGCAAAGCTAAGCTTACCATCTGCTGGCTGTAGCTTCATTTTTGGTATCAATCATGGTAACAATCTTCTAATCTACATCTTGGCAAGAAAGCAGATAAGAGTGTCCAAACTTATACTTCTAATGGCAGGCACAGCTCCATTTACAGCACCGATGCTTTTATATAAAGTGAAATATTAAAGAATTTCTTTCACCGCAGGGGAAGTAACTCTTCTTCAGTGACGACATCAGTGTGTGAACCGTTCTCCTGTCTGTTTGTCCCTGTGCAGCCGGAGAACATCCTGTACTACAGCCAGGATGAAAACTCCAAGATCATGATCAGTGACTTTGGCCTTTCAAAGATGGTGGACAACGGCATCATGTCGACAGCCTGTGGCACTCCAGGATACGTAGGTATGGATGTGTGTCTAATAAATTATGTATGGACACTTACTGAGTGGGGGTGTTCAAAATAGGTCAGAGGAATATAAGACACACAGGTGAGACAGTACAGACAATATGTACTTTCTTTAATTAGAGTACTCATTGGCCTACTTGTTTTTCCCTCTTCCAGCTCCTGAAGTTTTGGCTCAGAAGCCCTACAGCAAGGCAGTGGACTGCTGGTCTATTGGAGTTATCACCTACATCTTGTAAGTATAAACCATGGTGAATGACTACACACATTAGTAGAAACTAGACAGAAGAAGTTTATCTAAAACTTCCACTGCTAAGATTGTAAATCTCCTCCAAGATTTTCTTAAGTGGCAGGATTTTCAGATTAAAAGCCACTGCTGGTTGTGTCTGTGTTTAGCATGACACAGTTACCTACATACAGAATAATCCTGCAGTGACTGAGCCATAGCACCACCTACTGAGCACCTACTAGACATGCAAAATTTTCATACTGTTTGCCTGCAGGCATAATAAATAGACATGCACCATATTGTGGAAATGTGGAATATTTCTTGGATGGTTTTTTCCAACACTGATAAATTTTGTCACTGCAGACTCTGTGGATATCCCCCATTTTATGAAGAAAGTGAGACACGACTCTTCTCCAAGATCATGAAGGCGCAGTATGAGTTTGACTCGCCCTTCTGGGATGACATATCTGAATCTGGTAAAAGACACAGAATAATAGCCCAGACATGTTGAATAACCTGGTGCAGCTGCTTCATTCCTCAATACAGAGAGCTCTCTTTGCCCTAATGTCTGTCACCTTTCTATCTGCAGCTAAAGATTTCATCCGTAACATGATGCAGAAGAATCCCAGCATGCGCTACAGCACTGACCAAGCGCTCAGACATCCCTGGTGAGTGGCACTCATCAGCCTTGTATCACATTGTAATGCACTAAACCAGTGGTTCCCAACCTGTGGGCCAGGTATTGCAAGTGGGCCAACAAAACAGAACAATTTTGGTGAAAAGATGTAATTATAAAAAAGTATTAATATAAACAAGGTTTTTAAATATTTTAAAACGAAATGATCTTTAAAAACATATAATATATATAATATAAACAAAATATTGAAAAAATAATTATTTTGTCTTTTTTCTTCCTCCTCATCAAACAAAAAATAAAATTGAGCTTCCCCCGCTTTCAGTCAATCCTGAATGTTCGATCGTTATCTTTAGAATACAAAGTGCTGTCCGAAGATATCATTTGGCCTCCGTATTGTAATGGGGTCAGATGTCGGCTGCCAACATTTTTGAGATGTTCACATGGGTTCACATCACTGAGTTGGAAAAGGTTGGGAACCAGTGCACTAAACTAAACTCTCAAAGTATCCAATTGTCTTGTCCTTTTAGCTTTAAACTAGTTTTATGATATGAGGATTTCCTGCAATAAAGTCACATTTCTTGATCATGCTTGATCTGTTTTTGCAGTAAAAATGTCCATTTAGGCTTCTGTACCATAGTTAAAATTCCCTGTAGAAATTCAATATTCTTTTCATCTCTTTAAAGTTATATAAATTCAAAACTTTAAATAGTTGGTGAGTATTGCTTTTCAGCATGTAGCTCATGAGTCCTAGATTTATTATAGTATTTTGAGACTACAGATTCCTGGTGACATTCAAGATAGAAATATATGTGAAGCACAGGAGGTAGGCGTTTATCCACACAGTGTCCGGTCACACAGATGGATATGGGATTAACTGTACCTCAAAATAAATTGAAGCATTCCGTTCTGTCATCTCTTCACCAGGATTATCGGAAAGACGGCCCGGAGCCAGGACATCTACTATTCTGTCAGTGTTCAGATCCAAAAGAACTTTGCCAAGTCCAAGTGGAAGGTCAGTCATCATTGATTTCTTGGCTTTTATGTGGTAAGCTCATTAAGGACCTGCAGTTTATAGTAGATTAAACAGGTGCCTTCCTAAATCCTTCCTGATTAAGGACAGTTTAATAAGATAGTGCTCTGTAATCAAGGCCACTGAGTGCTGATGTAGTGCTATTACTGTCAGGGCAACCAGGGTGCGCTTGAGTGTTCAGCGGTAAAAATTAGTCAAAAACATGAAGCTGTTGAAGCGCACATTTAATGTAGAAAATATTGTCAATGTCAGACCAAAACATCCTCATGGATAAGCCTTTGTCTCTTCCAACCTCTTGTCCCTGTTCACTTTACAGCAAGCTATCAATGCCGCTGTGGCCATCAACCACATGAAGAAGCTGCAGTTGGCTCACTCAGAGCTGGTCCTGAGACAGTCCAGCATCCCAGACATCAAGGTGATCGACTTGTCCTCCCCAATAAAAAACCGCAAACATCTCGATCCAGGCAAGCTTGACCCCAAGGTGGCGGAGGTCGAAGGGAACGTGCAAGGGACAAATCACATGTCCCTGCCCACAAGCCACACTGAGCTGAAGAGCCATTATCACCCACTGAAAGCAAGTCAGAGCCAGTGCGGGGCACACCACGCACCGACTATAGCTGAGCAGGGCAAGCATGTGTACCACTCAGAGCCCGCCAACCTTAATGGGTGAGTATCAGCTTCATCTGATGTATGATGAGTTCTGACTTGGTGACCACAGCAGCACTAACTGAGGACTGAACGTGTCTGTTTTGCTTTCAGGTACGGTAAGAACTGTAATGGCAAGACTACGCAGACTGGAGTTTGCTCAGTCATGTGAAGGCTACATGAAGTTTACATGGAAAAAAGCATTTTACTTGGTAGGTTCAAGTAAAGCATTTGCATACATATTATAATCAAATACAGTATAGCATAATTGTATTTGAATTACACCTTTATTAAACAAGTGTTTTTGGAGGGTATCACTCTACTTTACTACTCTACTCTACTTTAAGTCCCCCTAGTTAATAAGAACATTTAATAAAGTGTTACCACATAACCTAATTAAATATTAGCAATTTTATATATATGTATATGTATATGTATGTATATATATATATATATATATATAAAATTTTTTATGATAAAATTGTTTGTTATTTTACAGAACAATACAAACAATCCACATACCCTAAAAAATTAAATAAATAAAAATAATTATTAAAGGGAGTATTAATAAATAAATAAATAAGTAGCGCAACAGACAAAGACAGGCATTGCAGCATAACAGTGTCAGTTAAGGAGGAATATAACAATGCATTTTCAGTAACACTCCATTATGACAACACAGTTTTGTTAAAACAAACCCATCTGACTTAGTTAAACACCAGGGTATTGTGTAACACATGTCCAACGTTGTATAAAAGTGTCAATTTTCAGTTGTGCAATTGCAGTCATTTGTTCCATTATATAGACCTGCTTCAGTCTCTGCACCCCCTGACTTGTGGTTGGTGGTTTTGCATCTTAGTCTTTTAAATATATTAATACCACTACAGACCTATGGTCAACACATACAGTTGTTTCACTTAATTCAACTGATCAGACCTCTTCTTAGCACTGTTTATGTTGCTCCCTTGCTCTGCTCTATGAAAGGCCTTCTTCATAACAGACATTTTGACTCTTCACTGCTCAGTGTACCAGTAAGCTATGACAGTGTGACAGTGAACCAGCATGCACAATATCAGGACCCTAAAACTGGAGCTTTTAAATAGAATTTAGCCTGCATTCGTTTTATTATTTACACAACACAAAATACCTTTTTGTGTTTTAGTTTAGTTTAGTTTAGACTGAACACAATTAAGGGACAACTAAAGAAAACATCTAGATCTCGTTGTTCATACATTGCTCAATTTTCAGATCATTACTTTATGTCTCACTCTGAGTGTGTTTCCACCCCCTGCAGGTCAGTGACTCGGCATGCAGCTGTTTTGTGTCAGCAGCTCCCCCGAGTACCAAGAATGAGAAGTGGCTGATGATCCTCTGATAGACCTGAATAGGTCTGTGAGGTCCACACAGGCTGTGGGACATTTTATTTTGGAAAGAGTGCCTATATGAAGCTTCCCAACAACCACATAGAAACACACAACAGTACACACATGTACACACACATACTCACATATTCAGATGCACAAGACTCACTTTGATTCAAACACACAGGGTAGACTTCAGTTAAAGAGGATATTTCAAACAGTATTCAGAGGGATGTCTCGCAGAGAGAAAAGGGTATGATGGGCTGACTGGGCTCCATACATGGTGACGCAGTCCCTGACCTCCCATGTGATGAAGATGTTTGATTCATCAGGAGCAATTAGTGTCCAGATTTATAGAACCGTGGTTACATGTTATTAAACAAAATATTCACAATGCAATAAGAAAAATTATTGTATTTCATCATGTGCAAAGCACCATCCTATAGCCAACCTGCATTTGTAAGCACAGTAGAATACATAGAAAATCTGCATGCTTACTGCTTCAGATAAGCCATACTGGTAAAATTTATTCTTGTAAAGTTGTGTTCTGTTTTATTTTTCTAAAGTATTTGCTTCCTTTTTTTTAAATAAAAAAAAAAAAACATAATATATGTTGAAATTGACAAATCATTAACAGTGTAAATGCCACAAGTATATATATCCCTAACTTGCCAACTCGTAGCTCTCACATGCCATCAGCCTGCTATGATATAAAATGGCATTGTAATGGATGTTTCTTCACTTACTGTAAGTGGTTCATTCTGGACAGTGTGCTTCTTGTCTCTACAGCTCTATGTGGCTTTGTATTGATGCGTTCAACAGATATTGATTCCTGTATGCTCATAAATAAAGCCTGTGCAGAATTTGCGTGTGGTGTTTTGATGTCATTTTATTATTATTATTATTTGTCTTGACTCTCTTGCAAAATAGCACCCATTTACAATATCTAATTGATACACAGAGTGGTAATATTTAATAGTAATTTAATTAACACAAGGCAGTAATATTTAAATAAAAAAATAAATCAGAATATGGGTTTGGGGAACATGTTGAAAATGACACATTTCATAAACAATGCTTCAGAGATTTGGAAAAAACAACATTGTCTAGGGCATAAAAACATCAAGACGTGTCATAGTGTAATAAGGTATGAAGATGTGAAAGTATAGCAAGGCCTTAAAAGTGAAAAAAACACAACACTATAGATGGCAAAAAAATGACAAAAAGACAAAGTATATTATGGAAAAAAAGTAAACAAACAACATATTGTGATAAAGAAAAATAGTGAAAAAACGAAATAGTATAGTAAAACTTAAGAGAATCAAAAAACATCCAAGTATGATAAGGTATAAATACGTGATGATATAGTGAGGCCTGAGAACTGAAAAAAACGACATCGTATAGTATGGCAAAAACATGAAAAACCGACATAGTATAGTATAGCAAAAAAGTAAAAAAACAACATAGTGTAATAATGCATAACAACATCATAAAACGTCATAGTATGATAAGGTATATAAACAACATAGTAAAGCAAGGCTTTAAAAGTGAAAAAATGACATAGTATAGTATGGCAAAAAAAAGAAAAAACGAAATATGTCATGATATAGTAAGGCCTAAAGACTGAATAAAATGACGCAGTATAGTTCAGCAAAAAATTGAAAAAACAACATAGTGTAAGAAGACAAGAAAGTGAAAAAACGTTATACTATATTAAGATATATAGATGTGATAGTATAACAAGGTCTTAAAATTGAAATAAATGACATAATATAGTAATGCAAATAAATGAAAAAAAACGACATAGTATAGTATGGCAAAAAAGTCAAAAAATGACGTAGAGTAATAAGGCAGAAAAACATTAAAAAACGTCATAGTATGATAAGGTATGAACATGTCATAGTATATTTAGTCCTATAAAGTGAAAAAAACAACATTGTATAGTATGGTGAAAAATGAAAAAACGACACAGTATAGTATGGCAAAAAAGTAAAAAAATCATATAGAGTAATAAGGCAGAAAAACATCAAAAAACGTCATAGTATATTAAGGTATGAAGATGTCATAGTATAGCATTGCATTAAAAATGAAAAAAAACAACATAGTATAGTATGGCAAAAAAGTGAAAAAACGACATAGTATAGAATGGCAAAAAATCAAAAAATGGCAGAGTAATAAGGCAGAAAAACATAAAATAAAGTCATAGAATAATAAGGCATAAACATGTCATAGTATAGTTAGTCCTATAAAGTGAAAAAAACAACCTAGTATAGTGTGGCAAAAAACTGAAAAAAACGACATAGTATAGGACGGCAAAAAAGTCAAAAAATGACATAGAGTAGTAAGGCATAAAAACATCAAAAAACGTCATAGTATAATAAGATATGAACATGTCATAGTATATTTAGTCCTATAAAGTGAAAAAAACAACAAAGTATGGTATGGCAAAAAAATGAAAAATCGACATAGTATAGTATGGCAAAAAAGTCAAAAAATGACATAGAGTAATAAGCCATAAAAACATCAAAAAACGTCATAGTATAATAAGATATGAACATGTCATAGTATATTTAGTCCTATAAAGTGAAAAAAACAACAAAGTATGGTATGGCAAAAAAATGAAAAATCGACATAGTATAGTATGGCGAAAAAGTCAAAAAATGACATAGAGTAATAAGCCACAAAAACATCAAAAAAAGTCATAGAATAAGAAGGTATAAACATGTCATAGTGTAGTTAGTACTATAAATTGAAAAAAAACAACATAGTATAGTATGGCAAAAATATGAAAAATTGACTTAGTATAGTATGGCAAAAAAATAAAAAAAAAGACATAGAGTAATAAGCCACAAAAACATCAAAAAACGTCATAGTATAATAAAGAATGAACATGTCATAGTATATTTAGTCCTATAAAGTGAAAAAAACAACAAAGTATGGTATGGCAAAAAAATGGAAAAACGACATAGTACAGTATGGCGAAAAAGTCAAAAAATGACATCGAGTAATAAGCCACAAAAACATCAAAAAACGTCATAGTATAATAAGATATGAACATGTCATAGTATATTTAGTCCTAGAAAGTGAAAAAAACAACCTAGTATAGTATGGCAAAAAAATGGAAAAACGTCATAGTACAGTATGGCGAAAAAGTCAAAAAATTACATAGAGTAATAAGGCATAAAAACATCAAAAAACGTCATAGTATAATAAGATATGAACATGTCATAGTATATTTAGTCCTAGAAAGTGAAAAAAACAACCTAGTATAGTATGGCAAAAAAATGGAAAAACGTCATAGTACAGTATGGCGAAAAAGTCAAAAAATTACATAGAGTAATAAGGCATAAAAACATCAAAAAACGTCATAGTATAATAAGATATGAACATGTCATAGTATATTTAGTCCTAGAAAGTGAAAAAAACAACCTAGTATAGTATGGCAAAAAAATGGAAAAACGTCATAGTACAGTATGGCGAAAAAGTCAAAAAATTACATAGAGTAATAAGGCATAAAAACATCAAAAAACGTCATAGTATAATAAGATATGAACATGTCATAGTATATTTAGTCCTAGAAAGTGAAAAAAACAACCTAGTATAGTATGGCAAAAAAATGGAAAAACGTCATAGTACAGTATGGCGAAAAAGTCAAAAAATTACATAGAGTAATAAGGCATAAAAACATCAAAAAACGTCATAGTATAATAAGATATGAACATGTCATAGTATATTTAGTCCTAGAAAGTGAAAAAAACAACCTAGTATAGTATGGCAAAAAAATGGAAAAACGTCATAGTACAGTATGGCGAAAAAGTCAAAAAATTACATAGAGTAATAAGGCATAAAAACATCAAAAAACGTCATAGTATAATAAGATATGAACATGTCATAGTATATTTAGTCCTAGAAAGTGAAAAAAACAACCTAGTATAGTATGGCAAAAAAATGGAAAAACGTCATAGTACAGTATGGCGAAAAAGTCAAAAAATTACATAGAGTAATAAGGCATAAAAACATCAAAAAACGTCATAGTATAATAAGATATGAACATGTCATAGTATATTTAGTCCTAGAAAGTGAAAAAAACAACCTAGTATAGTATGGCAAAAAAATGGAAAAACGTCATAGTACAGTATGGCGAAAAAGTCAAAAAATTACATAGAGTAATAAGGCATAAAAACATCAAAAAACGTCATAGTATAATAAGATATGAACATGTCATAGTATATTTAGTCCTAGAAAGTGAAAAAAACAACCTAGTATAGTATGGCAAAAAAATGGAAAAACGTCATAGTACAGTATGGCGAAAAAGTCAAAAAATTACATAGAGTAATAAGGCATAAAAACATCAAAAAACGTCATAGTATAATAAGATATGAACATGTCATAGTATATTTAGTCCTAGAAAGTGAAAAAAACAACCTAGTATAGTATGGCAAAAAAATGGAAAAACGTCATAGTACAGTATGGCGAAAAAGTCAAAAAATTACATAGAGTAATAAGGCATAAAAACATCAAAAAACGTCATAGTATAATAAGATATGAACATGTCATAGTATATTTAGTCCTAGAAAGTGAAAAAAACAACCTAGTATAGTATGGCAAAAAAATGGAAAAACGTCATAGTACAGTATGGCGAAAAAGTCAAAAAATTACATAGAGTAATAAGGCATAAAAACATCAAAAAACGTCATAGTATAATAAGATATGAACATGTCATAGTATATTTAGTCCTATAAACTAAAAAAAAAAACAAAGTATAGTACGGCAAAAAAATGAAAAAAACGACATAGTATATTATGGCAAAAACGTCAAAAAATAACAGAGTAATAAGGCATAAAAACATCAAAAATCGTCATAGTATAATAAGATATGAACATGTCATAGTATATTTAGTCCTATAAAGTGAAAAAAACAACAAAGTATAGTATGGCAAAAAAATTTAAAATCGACATAGTATAGTATGGCAAAAAAATCAAAAAAACGACATAGAGTAGTAAGGCAGAAAAACATCAAAAAACATCATAGTATAATAAGGTATGAACATGTCATTATATATTTAGTCCTACAAAGTGAAAAAAACAACAAAGTATAGTATGGCAAAAAAAATGTAAAATCGACATAGTATAGTATGGCAAAAAAATCAAAAAAACGACATAGAGTAATAAGGCAGAAAAACCTCAAAAAATGCCATATTATATTAATGTATAAACATGTCATAGTATATTTAGTCCTATAAACTAAAAAAAAAACAAAGTATCGTACGGCAAAAAAATGAAAAAACGACACAGAGTAATGAGGAAGAAAAACATCACAAAACGTCATAGTATAATAAAGAATGAAAATGTCATAGTATAGCAAGGCCTATTAAGTGAAAAAAACAACATAGTAAAGTATAGCAAAAAAATGAAAAAAACGACATAGTATATTATGGCAAAAAAGTCAAAAAATAACATAGAGTAATAAGGCATAAAAACATCAAAAAACGTCATAGTATAATAAGATATGAACATGTCATAGTATATTTAGTCCTATAAAGTGAAAAAAACAACAAAGTATGGTATGGCAAAAAAATGAAAAATCGACATAGTATAGTATGGCGAAAAAGTCAAAAAATGACATAGAGTAATAAGCCACAAAAACATCAAAAAACGTCATAGTATAATAAGATATGAACATGTCATAGTATATTTAGTCCTATAAAGTGAAAAAAACAACAAAGTATGGTATGGCAAAAAAATGAAAAATCGACATAGTATAGTATGGCGAAAAAGTCAAAAAATGACATAGAGTAATAAGCCACAAAAACATCAAAAAACGTCATAGTATAATAAGATATGAACATGTCATAGTATATTTAGTCC